TATTATTCGCAACCGGAAGATTAGATAAGTGAGAAGGTTTCTTTTCCACACCTTCCCATACCCGGTGTGTTTGTTGATAGCCATCACTTTGGGATGTACAGAATGTCTCGTCGGATGTTTCATTCGCTTTCGAATCAGTCTCAAGTACATCATTTTCCCGATAACTGAGAATGATGTAATACCTCCCTATATCAATGAAATCATTTAATGTGGTGACCCCCCGACCACAACCACACTTGTGATAGCTTCCGCAGCTGCGCCAGGCGCCAGGGTGGGTGAAGCTGCACAATGGAAGTTTGCGACTTGGTAGCGTTTTGCCGATGCCAATGGTGTGGCAACATCCATGCAAAAATTGGAAGGGGTCTGTTGTAAAAAGTCAGCTCCAGGACACTTGGCGATGCCTGTAGCAAGGCTTCAGGTCCAATGATTTTATGATTGAAAGAAAATCCATGGGTCGTGTGTCTGAATGTTTGATTTTGCACCCATCTTTGGGATGGAGATTTCGTTGGGCAAACCAGCATTGCCCCTCGAAGAAAACTTGGCGATGAATCCGTAAGACAATCACATCGATTCCCATTGAAATTGCTGCAGGACCTTAAATTCGAGGTGATGTGTTTTTGTGATGTGTTCCATTTAAATTCCCATTTAAATTCCATTTCTGGTGATATGTGTTTGTCTTGTCGAGGTCGCACTTGATTGGGAACTGGAATGAAGTGAAGAAGAGCTTGGAAGCTACGCAATGGGAATGGATGTTGAACGATTAGGAGTCGCCAGGCGCCAAGGCATGACATGAGCTGGATTTAAAGTGGCCGAATTTTCAGGTCAAGATGTGGCCAATTGTTTTTACAATCAAAAAGATCCGAATAGTTAAAGAAATCCGAAGTATCCAACCAAATGGGAAGTTGTCACACTGTGTTCCAAACGCGTAGATCACGACCTGTTCCAAGGTCCTTTGGTGCCTCAATTGAACGATAGCTCTGTGGTCTTCTTGCAGGCTTGGCATTGATCTCCGATTCTTCAACTGCAACGGATTCCAGCTGACATCACTTGTGTGGCCGTTGGTTACAATTGCTTAGCGCACGATGTGAGTGGATGGTGGACATCAAACTCTCACCACGGGTGAAAGTCTGGATGACATCATGTGCAAAAAAAACATGCTATGATTGTTGCACATAAATTTATTTGGAAATGAACAGTGTTGCTCACGTGTTGCTCTGTGTTGCACTCTGAAACGGAACATGGAAGAACTGCACAGCTGCAGCCCTGGATAGCCCTAGTCCTTCCACAGCTTTTTTCAGGAACTTGGTGCCGATGGCAGAGCTTCCGGTGAAAAAGCTGCAGCAAAGCAGAAAGCGTAGAAACGGGACATGTTGGGACGGGGAGATCACCATCCTCCCTAAACAGCCCTGTTTACAGCGTGCTCACACGGGTTCTTGCACTTACATCGTCAAGGAGTTGATCGAGGGTTCGCACTCGAGGCGTGTTCGTCCGTTTTTGGAGCTATGTAAATTTTGTCATGCACGTGGCAGGCGCAGTACATGGTGCAGGTTGCTTAAACGTTGGCAGGAGCAGGTCACCATGAGAGATATTTTGTGTGGCAGGCGCGACGTTTGGGTAAACTTGGACTCTGTTTTCAAAGCATCAATACCGTCGCTTTGTGAGATTGTCGTCACTCTTGGATTGGCTATGTTGAGGTCATTTTGTGTCGCATGTGCAGTACCTCGGATGCCTGGACTTCAGGTTTTGGTGCTATGCGTAGTAATCAAACATGTCTAAACAAACGCAAACAACAGTGGAACAATGACATCCAATTTCCAAGTTGTTTTTTTTGCATCTTGTTGTGGCGCTGTACTCGTTTTACTTTCGGCGGTGCAACCCTTTCAATATTTCATGCTTGTGGGTCTCTCGTTGTGGGGCAGTGCTCGTGTTAGTCAGCTCTCAGAGATCATTGTGGCGGCGTAGCGATATTGTGACCTCTGCATAAAGTCCGTTGATGAGGATCTTGTGAGATTCTCTTAAAGGTCCTTGTATGAAGATTGTGGCAAAGGTCTTGTAGAGGTCCTTGTGAGAAGATCTTGTGAAGATCCTGGTGAAGTCCTCTAACAATTCCTTCTGTGAAGATCTTGAAGATATCCTGCTAGAAGTGCTTGGGATGCTCTGGAATTCTAAGAGGTTCTGATTTTGTAAGATCCTCTAGAAGGTCCTTCTGTGAGTATCTTGTGAGATTTTCTCAGAAGTCGCGTGAAGATCTAGTAGAGGTTCTTGTCAGAAGCTTTTGTCGGATGTTCTCCTCACCGTTTGGGCCTCTTGCCGCAGTTGTCACGGGTTTTGAAGCTCCAAGGGGGTGTTGGGTTGGATTTCTTGCCGATCTTGTGAGGCCAAGAATTTTTGACTGGAAACGCCAAACGGAAACCAGTAGTCAGTAGTCTGTGCAAGTTTTGCTTGGTTCGGGAAATAGATTGGAAAAGGGACTGGCAGGGACTGGGAAAACCATGATTGTTGCGGGTCCGCCTGCCTTGAAGATGTTCTGCAGACTGGACCTTTTCTGCAGCCATTGGATACTCATAGCTGTCATAGCTTCTCAAATTGCGACAAGTGAAACAACCAGAGACAAAAAACACACCTAAACAACATCAGAACAACCGTGTTGTGTCAATGAAAGTCATGTTTCATTGGCAGCTCGTTGTTTTGAAGGGGCAACGTCAGCCCAAACATCCACGACCGGTGACCGCTCCGCGATGGCAGAGACGGACGCGGAGTGCCTCGGTACTCCAACAGGTTCCATATGGTTCCATGAGTCCAACTTCGGACCTTTCGGACCTTTCGGGTCTCAACATTTCCAGTCTTTGTGGCCACACAACCCGGAGATTGATATCACCTTTCTGATGACCCCATTTTCAATAGATCAAGGCTGGGAATGGAGGCCGTGCTGCAGCTTGCCAGGCGCAGCTTGAGATTTCCAACACCATTGATTTTGAGCAAACTTCAATGTTGAATGCAACCCCCATAGAAAAGTTTGAGCTTGAAATGATAGTGCAAAGTTTTCAGAAAGTCAAAACGGCATCCTTTAATTCAGGGAACCCATAAGAAACGCCCATCAAAACGACAATTTTTCGCCATCTCCATCCAGCTCCAGGCAGTGTGGACAACAACAACGGCTTTTGAAGATGAATTCAGTGCGACAAGAGGAACTGCTGAATGAGCTGGAGGCCAAACTGATCCAGCAAGGATAGATATGGATATATAGATGATATTTTTAAGCGACAGATCCGAAAAGTCTTAGATCAGTATATTAATGTATAGTAGATTATGTTACTATATATACATATATACACATACAGAAACATATTGTAAAATATTGTGTGTATATACTGTATATATATATATACATACACATATATAGAGTATTACAATGTGCAAATATCATATATCCATAAATGCATTGTAAATAGCCATCTCGCAGGTCATGTTGGCAGCGGTGCAGTGCTCAGGAGCACTGAAGGTATCGTATGTAGCATAGGTATCACACCATGGATGACACTGGCTGAACATTAACCCGAATCAACTCCCAAACTCATCCAAACTCAGCTCTTTTATCACCAGCAAACACAGAGTTTATCCTTTTCCTTTTGATGCTTAGTTTGGCTTGTATAGACCTTAAAATCGACCGAAGGACACCCCAAATTTGGGGAACCCCCATGAAGTGGCCCCACGATCCTTGAGGTGAATGAACGTGTCACAGCTGGATCCCCAGCAGAATGGACGAGGGGAAGCTGTCTTCATTACAAGCCTCAGTTTCGTACTCAAAGAATAGCACTATGTGGCTCCTATTGGTTGTCACTTGCAGGATATCCAACCAGTAGTGCACTGATGGGGAAACTACTGTAACTATACCCGCAGGCACAAGTATAGATTCACGGCAACCCGCAATCATTTGCGGTAGGGGATTTCGGGGTTTTGGGGGATCTTCAATCGCATCTGATAGATTTACAGTAAGCTTCAAAGGAGAGGTCAGGCATTCAGGGTGTAGAGGTTCCAGTTTCCGGGCAAACAGCGCCTGACCGCAACTAAAGTTATTTTTCTTTCGGTCATTTAGGGACTATCTTCACATCTTTGGATCTGAGTACTCAATGTTTGTTAGTTAACAGACGAATACATACTAATACCGTGTTAGGATATCACATAATATGTTAAGGACACGATCAAACCGCCACCCCGGCCACTCACCAGGCGCTTCCTCGACAAATCGTCACGGAGGAGGTACGCAACGACCCCACCAGCACCACCGTGGCGAAGTTGAGACGTGGCGACTCTGCTGTGCAGTCCATTGTATCTTCCAAGGTGGGAAGAAACGAACGAAACGGGCGAAACGGGAACCGAGGATGCAAAGAGGAGTTGCCCAGCTGCCCTGAAAAAGAAACAGCATCTGTTTTTGGTGATGAATTTGGATTTAACCGTGCCATACTGTGCCGTTGTTGTCGATTTTGCTGAGTGTTTTGTTGCGAGCTTCAAAGAAGAGGAAGCAGTGAGTAGTTTGAGGAGGAAAGCCGAATCACCGTGGTTTGAAGAGGAAATGAGGGAGCGAAGCAGGGTCGAGGTTTCCGACATGTTATCCACGATGGAGAGAGATCAGTATGATAAGTTCAGGCTGCATCTCCCAAAATTGGATTACAGAACGGCCGAACGGATTATTATATCTATTGTGGATGATGGATGATGATGGATGATGATGGATGATGATGGATGATGATGGATGATGATGGATGATGATGGATGATCGTCTATGTATGTCTATGTCTATGGATGGGGTTCCATGGAAGCCGTGGCTCAGGCGGACTTGTCATCAGAGCGTGAGGCTGCGTTGATGGCCATCGTGAGAACTTTCCATGGCCGTAGTGAAGCCTTGCCCTCTGGTAATTTGTGATGCAGCTATTGAAGCCATGGCCCATAGAAATAGTTGATTTACCTATTGAAGATGGTGATTTTCCATAGCTTTTTGTATGTTTACCAGAATTTTACCCAAGGAAATTCTACTCAATCTGATGGGGATCACATGCCTCTCGTCAGGCCATGATCAGTGCCAAGAAAGCTTTGAACGGTATGCACCATGGCAGGGACGAAGCTATGCAAGTGGCAACCATGACATTGCCATGATATGCCATGATACTATCATGATACTATCTTGGATAATATTGGACAACTATCTTGGATAATATTGGATAATATAATGATACTATCATGATTATTGGAGAATATGGGATATTCTTGGCCGAATTTGAGAGATCAGTGGGTTTTAGGTGGGGTTTTTAGCTCTTTATTCCCCAACGCTTCGCCAGCTGCGTCGGCACAAAAGGAGTGGTCAGATCTATGATACGATCTACACACCGGCTCTCTACACGCGGCAGTCAGCCCAAAAGGTCCAAAACCGGTTCCTGCGAGGTGCGGTTGGGGAAATTTCCTGGAAGCCATGCATATTTTTCGCTGTTTCTTAAAATGGAACTGGCCTGTCTGGCCAAAAGAAAGGAGTCTTGGTGAGTCAAAGGACCAAGTGAAGAATGTGGAAAGTCATTTCTGTGGGTGCAAACATAACGGTTGAAAACCAAAACGAAGTGTTTTGCAAGAGTGCCAAGAGTGCCAAGAAACACCCCATATCACCCATGCTGCAGGAATTTTGACCACCGTCGAGCGCCCAGACCGTGCAGGTTGATGTTTGTTGCAGATCAACTGAGGTGAGAAATGCATAGAAATGCCCCAAATCCATCCAAATCCCAGGTCGTTGGATTCTAGTGGGATTTCTTACGATCAAACCTGGGAAGTCGTAGAGGGCAACGATGGCCCTTGCGGATATGGCATTGTAGTGACCAGCTGATGGCTTCACCAAGGTTGGCGACGTGCTGTTCAAATTTGAGACTTTGAAGGAACCGCCGAGAGAAGGATGTCTTGCGGTCGGGGGCCCGGTGGTTTTGGTGGGGATTTTCCCAATGATGGTTCCCAGTGCGTGCAGTGTTTTGCTGAGCCCAAAGCCGGGAAACCTGAACACTGCTGAGTTGCAAAGCTGGGTTGTGTTGAGCATTTCCACATAGCAACGGAGAATTCTGCTGAACAGGATTGAACAGGATTCAAGGGTGACCAATGGCGGCACCGGGGCAGAAGTTTCTCTCTTTTCCTAGGGGCTTTTTCTCTGCCATCTCTTCTTTCACCTGTCTCTTCTTCTCTCAGCCATATCTCAGTATCTCCCTGAAGAAATTCTTCTCTAAGCTACCCCTTTCTCTCTCTCTCTCTTTCCCAGGTACTTTTTGTCTGGGCGAACTCGTCTCTCTGTGAGCTACTCAGCTACTCCGCGTCTCAACTACCTCCCTTCTAAACCAGCAACAATGCCCCCGAGCTGCCTCTTCTTTGACTCACTTCTTCTCTGAGTTACCTCTTCTCTCAGTCAATTCTTGCCTGAGCCAAACCTCTCCTTGAAGAGCTAACTCTGTAAGTCTCTTTCCGTTTACTTTTTCTCTGAGCCAACTCTTTTCCGAGCTCCTTCTATTTTTGCTACTCTGAGCTACTTTTCTGCGTGCAGGTCTAGAAACCGCCAGTTCCATTCCGGCAGTTCCAGGAGGATCCCACCCGTTGCAATGTCGTAGCGTCGTAGCTAGCAAGCTCCTTCTCCATTTCCGCATAGCAAGAACTTTGCGAGCTGCGCACTGACCCTGATCTAATGAACCCAAAAGCTATTGAATGAAGTAACCAACTAGTCACGCTTTCTTTTTCAGTATCATTGCTAAGTTGCTGAGCAACGGTGTTCGCGAAGTTTTTCAATGACATTTGTCATCGAACGTTCTCACAGAAATTCTTGCATGAGCAGTCCATCATACTTGGTGCGGGCTATCAATGGGTATATATATAACTGTATATATAACTGTGGTTACCTCCATAAGATGGGATATGCCTTTGATATCTCTAAAACCATCGTGAAAAAAACTCCACTTTTTGGGGGAACACCAATTAGTGGTGGGATGATCATACGGTGGCCATGTGGCCTGAAACACCCAGGGGCTGGTCTTCAGCCGGTGGTTCCAAATGCTGTCCGTCACAGTCATCTTGGCGCTGGCGACATGTTGATTTCTCGGTGTTTCGGGGAGCATCTCATCTCGAACCACTAAAAGATGACCGATAAGTGCCTGATTTACTACCCTCCAGTAAATTCACATAGACCCTGGTAGATAGGGGTTGGAAGATTAGTTTCCTCTAAAAAAATGTGATTTTCAGGGTCTATGTTAATTTACCAAAGGGTAAGTTTTTTCTACTTCTTTTTTAATTTAAAGCAAAAACCTGAAGAACTTCAGAACCATTTCCCAATTTTCATCCACTGTGCGTCGCGGCAGGTCAACTCGGTACACCTGGCTGAAGTTGGCGAAGCCGAAACATCTTTTGGTGAGAATGACATAGAATGACAGGGTTAAAATGGGTTAAACTCAGTATCCATATGGATCATATGACATCATCTTACATCTATGATATATGTAATCTAGATAACTCATGGTAATCCATGATCCATCCATTTTCCGTCTCGTCAAACGTGAACTTTTGTTGAAGAACGCCAGGTTTCGATCGCTCTTAGTGCTGATTATGAAATTCAGAACTTAGGCCAAGAGGCCACCCTCGCCACTTGGTGAAAACTCTCTGGATAGTCATCGGATCTGAAGAACAGTGTAGATTCTTTTAGATCAACGTTTTCTTTCTGTATCTAGCTGCTTATCTGTCCATTTGTCGGCCAGCTTGTAACGAATGTGAATGTAAATTCTGTTCGTGTGTCCATAGATGTTCCTTGAGGCAAGCTGTGATGTACGCATAGAACGCATAACATATTGAGATACAGGCAGCATACATATACACACACACACGTTTGTGCACTTATCTGCACGTGTAAATGTATACATATGCATATGCATATATTCACATATATATATATATGTACATACAATTATACATATATATATATACATATAAAGACATAATATGTATAAGAATATATATATATATATAATGGTTTTTATCATATCATAACATGAAAAATAATATACATTTTGTATGTATGTTATATTGCACGTATATTATATTATATTACATTATATTACATTATATTATATCATATTATATTATATTATTTGAATTTGTACTATATTGTATTTTATTCTATTATAGTATATTATATTATATTCTACTATACTATGTTAGATTATATTCTACTATACTATATTATACTATATTATATTATATTATATTATATTGTTAAATATGATATATTATATGATGTTATATTATGTTATATGATGCTATATGATATTCTATTGTATTATATTATGTTATATTATTTTATATTGTATGATATTATATGATACTATATTATACTATATTATATTATATTATTTGATATTACATGATGTTATATTACACTATATTATATTCTATTCTATTCTATTATATTATATTATGTGATATCAAATGATATTATATGATACTATATTATATTATACTATATTATATTATACCATATAATATAATATAATGCAATATAATAATATAATATAACATGATATGATATAATATAATATTATAGTGTATGATGTTAGTTGATATTATATGATATTATATGATATGATAATATATTTCACTTTATTACATATAATACACACACACATATATATATATATATTCGAAGGAAGTTTAGAAGTCAAACTTCCGACAATATGGACAGATGAAAAGCAGAGATGGGAAGAGTCAGAGAAGAGAAGAGAAGAACAAAGAAGATCAAAAAGAGAAAATCTCAGAAGATAGAAGATGGAGGTGCGCGAAAAGGCAGGAAAGTTGCGAAACACTGTGTTTTTCCAATGATTTGTGGCTCCGGAGGGTCGAAAAGTAGGCTTGCAGCCAGCTGGCCAAATGAGAGATGAAAAATTGCACGCCATTGTCGCGAAGCACATTTCCAAGTCAAAATGTACAAAGCACCCCAGCCTTGGAGCACATTTAGAAGTTGCGATGTCGAAAAAGTGCACGCCGTTGTGGCGCGAAGCACATTTCGAAGTCAAAATGTTAAAAACACCAGGTCCGGACCACTTTTGGACGTTCAGATGTCGTTTCGCGTAGCAGGCGCAAGGGATTGTGCACCTTCTCAAAAGCGAGCAAAACATCAGGGTTTTGTAGCCGTTTCAAAAATGATGGCAGGCGTGGGGCATTTGAAGAGGATCTGCAAAGATGCATTTCGCGTGGCAGGCGCAGTGCAAGAGACATGTTCATCAGAGCTGTTAGGAGGTCCAGGCGCTGATTTCTTGAGAGGGGTTGCATTTTGGAGCATCAGATCTGTAGGTTTGCTACGATTATTTTGTGTGACAGATGCAGCACTTCGTATGACCTGGCATCACTTTTTCGTGGCAGGCGCAGTACTTTAGACAGGTGGAGTGCAAAAATCGCAAAACGCATTGGTACGAGGCCGTCAGCTCTGCACTCAACTTTCCATATTTGAAGGAAGTCTCGCAGAATTGCTTCCTTTTTTGATGTTGTCAAATTCAAAAAGTGAGGAAGTCTCGCAGAATCGCTTCGTTTTGGATGGTGTCAAGTCCAAGAAGTCTCGCAGAATTGCTTCGTTTTGGATCTTGTCAAGTTCAAAAATTGAGGAAGTCTCGCAGAATTGCTGCGTTTTCAAGCTTACAGATAGACAGACAGACAGACAGGCAGACAGACAGGCAGACAGACAGACAGATAGATAGATAGATAGATAGACAATTACAACTACAACTACAACTAGAGCTGCACTACACACTACTGCTACAACTACAAATGCAAATATACTACGCTACATTACACTACACTAATTACACTACGCTACACTACACTACACGACACTACACTACACTACAGTACAGTACACTACACTAATTACATCTAATTACACTACACTACACCAATTACACAACAACAACAACAACAACAACTACTACTACTACTACCACAACTACAATTACAACTACACTACACTAATTACACTGCAGTACGCTACAGCTACAAATGCAGCTATAACTACAACCACACTACATTACACAACACTACGCTACCCTGATTACATTGCACTACACTACACTACAACTACAGCTACAACTACAACTACAACTACAACCACACTACACCAGACCACACCAGACCACACCAGACCACACCAGACCACACCAGACCACACCAGACCACACTACACCACACTACACCACACTACACCACACTACACCACACTACACCACACTACACCACACTACACCACACTACACCACACTACACCACACACTACACTACACACTACACACTGCACACTACACACTACACACTACACACTACACACTACACACTACACACTACACACTACACACTACACTACACTAATTACACTGCACGACACTACAACTACAACTACACTACCTTACACTACACTAGACTACACTACACTAGACTACACTACACTATACCAGACTACACTACACAACACTCCACAACATCAGACTGCACTACAATACACTAATTACACCACACCACGACTACAACTGCAACTGCACCTGCAACTACACTAATTTCACTACATTACAACTACAACTCCACTACGCTACACTACACTACAACTACAGTTACAACTGCAACTACAACTACAACTGCGCTACACCACACTACATCCAGCAGTTGTGGTGAGGTGACCACTGCAACCACTGCAACCATTCCAAAAAATACGACTCCAACCACCTTTCGGTCCATCAGTGGATTCGCTCTGCCATCCGTGATTCACAACAACCAACCTCTCCTATAGGTTTCCTATTTGTGAAACTTCCGCCACTGCCTTGTGCGGTACTACTGGTGCATATATTACATACATTACATATCTAGGTTCCAGCATGGTGCAGGGTTGAAGGTATTTACTGGCCGCTGTCGTGAACCTAGTAAAGAGACCATCATGGGTGGAGCGTTTGCACGGTGGGAGATCAGACTTTTACTGGGCCAGACCTTTCATCAATGAAACCACATATTTGGGCCAACATTTATTGTGTTTTATCATTGACAGAACCAGATGGGAGAAAATGGGGTTTTGAGATCAAAGTGCTGGTATACCCTTTGGTAATGCAAGACATTTAACTTGAAAGTTTGCAGTGGAAAATCACCGTTTCATAGGTAAATCGTTTACTTTCATGGGTCATCTATGCCACAGCAAAGTCTTCAAAACTTAAAATTGCCAGACGGTGCATCTACAGTTGTGACACTTAGTGACTCGTGTGACACTCAGGTACAGCAGAACGTGGAGCTCGCTCTCACATTGTTCTATGTGCTGTGGCTCAGAATTCCGGGCAATTGCTGTTAAAATTGACGCGGCCGTCCATATTTGTTGGGTTGATGTACCATAGAAGACACACCGGGAGATGCACATGCGTATCACCAACAGGTATGATGATGTTTGCGATGTGTATGCAGATGGATATACACAGACAAATTGACAAGTAGAGAAGTAGATAAATAGATAGGTAGATATACAGACAAATCGATCAGTAGATAAATAGATAAATAGATCAATAGATATACTGATGAACAGGTGAATAGATGAGTAGATACATAAGTAAGTACAAGTAGATAAGTACATATTCAAGAAATGAAATGACAATTCGATAGAGCCAAATATCGACAGATAGGTAGCTAGCTTGATAGGTAGGTAAAGAGATGGTGTAACAACACACCTGCTATTCATGATTGTGTTGGCACCTAGGCACAGTTTTGGAAGGAAATCTGTGCAGCAATAAGCCTTGGTGAAAATCATCACTTCAGCCCAGAGTCTAGAGTCTAGACATGGACATCAGCTATAGATGAGTAGATACATAAGTAAGTACAAGTAGATAAGTACATATTCAAGAAATGAAATGACAATTCGATAGAGCCAAATATCGACAGATAGGTAGCTAGCTTGATAGGTAGGTAAAGAGATGGTGTAACAACACACCTGCTATTCATGATTGTGTTGGCACCTAGGCACAGTTTTGGAAGGAAATCTGTGCAGCAATAAGCCTTGGTGAAAATCATCACTTCAGCCCAGAGTCTAGAGTCTAGACATGGACATCAGCTATACGAGGCTTGTCATTTGATCCAGGTTGAAGTCCTTGGTGCCAAATGGTGCCAAAGCTACCACCTATTCACAATTACCTCAGTTCTGACACTTTAGCAGCGGCTGAACATCATGTTGTCACTGAGGTTGTCGAACTGTTCTTGAAGCACCTTGGATCGATCGGGTTGGTTCCCGTGATGCCGTAATGCTTCAGAGGGATCTGCCACAGACATTATTGTGCCACATGATACGCTTTCACATTGATCCTATTGGCCATCTTGAAGGAGTGGACTCGCCCAATAAAATCGAGAAACCACTTCTAGGTCATTCCGAACAGTGTTGTCACTCTTTTTTCAGCATTTTTCATTGTTACCCGTCATTTTTTGCGTTGACATTGCTCAAGTTTCGATTTGTGACTGCGAGATGACCGCAAAAGGCTAATGGTGAACCGGCTCTACTTTTTCGCTCCTTGGCCGCAAAAGGCCCCGAAATCAGGGCTGAATGTGTTAAGATCGCTTCCATGCAACCAGATTAGTTGCGTTAATACCTATCCTTGTTGTAAAGTCATAGTCAGCTGGAGTGGCATGATCCAAAACGGGTAAGCCATGGTAAACCATATCAGATAAATTCGGAATTGATTCGCAAGTGAGATGAGCAATCTGGACGACATGCAGCAATGAAATCAGTGGCTTTGTTGCTGAATACACTACCTGCTAGTCACAGTTCTTCGCTGGATCCTGTTGTTAACACCATTCGAAACCGTTTCATTGAAGGCAGCTTAGTGCTGCCAGCTGCTTTCCTCAGCAGTACTCAAGGCGATTTAGAAGTCTTGAGATGGAACGCCTCCACTTTTATCGTGTTATCGGCTGTCATCGTGTTATGTTTTTTACTTCGATGCCTAGCCGTCGCTATTGGCACGAGGTCAATGAAGATTCTCTCTGGAACTGCTTCGACTTTGTGCTGGTGATGTTGCTGGGACCCGGGAAGACATTTTCGACTCAGTCGACCCCTTGCGGGTCGAGTCCAAGCCTTTCTCTTGGGAACTCCATGTATTTTTAGGGCGGCGCCCAGAGATTTTTCATTTGGATTTCCCGTGCCTTGTGGTCCACAATGGAGGTTTACCATATAATTAGACCCATTGGAAGGTATTCCCACCTATGTTGTTTTTGTGTTGTGGACATGTGGGCATCATTTTATTCGCGTTTACGTCCGCAACCGTTCGCAACCGTCCGCAACCGTCCGCAACCGTTCACAACCGTTCGCAACCGTCCGCGCGATCCCCGTATGGCAAGTTCTGCAAAAGGGGTCACTTTTGGAGGTTTCACATGTGGCGTTGCTTCGTTTTGCGTGGCAGGCGTGGCACTTCGTGACATTCAGACATGTTTGGTAACGTGTCGCAAGTCATTTTGCGTGGCAGGCGCAATACTTTTGCGACGTTTTCAGAAGATGTGTTGCAGTTTTCGTGGCAGGCGCAGCACTTTGGATGTGTCCAGCGTCATTAAGCGTGGCAGGCGCAGTACCTTAGACGTGTCGTGTTGCGTGTTTTTGCGAATCGCATTGTCAGGGCTGCGTCAAGTGGCGACAAGGTGCAAATTCCGTGGCAGGCGTGGCATTTTGTGAGACGTGATGAAAATTGATGGAAGCCTCGCGCGAAACATCGATTTTGAGGTAGCGAATTTTTAGGTTCTAAGGAAAATTCGTAGGAAAACATCGATTTTGAAGCTACAAAGTGTCAAAATTGGAGGAAGTCTCGCACGAAATGTTTGTTTTGATGCTCCCACGTGTCTGGTCTCGAGTCTCTGGTTTTCTTGTGGCCTCGCCCTGTCTATGGGGGAAGCTGCAAAACCTGTCCTTTTCGATGGTTTCCAAGCAGGTTGTCATGTCGTTTTGCGTGGCAGGAGCGGCACTTTGTGACATTCCAACCTGTTTGATAACGCGTCGAAAGTCGTTCTGTGTGGCAAGTGCAATACTTTTGCGTCCTTTGGAGATCTTTATCGTCATTTTGCGTGGCACCCCCACCTCTTCACACGTGTCGTGTTGCATGCTCTACACTCCATGCTCCACACTCCACCCTTTACACTTCACACTCCACACTTTACATTCCACACTTTACACTCTACACTTTACACTCTACACTTTTGCACTTCACACTCCACACTCCACATTTTACACTCCACACTCAACACTTTGCACTTTACACTTTACACTCCACACTTCACACTCCACACTCAGCACTCCACATTCTACACTCCACACTTTACCCTCTACACTTTACACTCTACACTTGACACTTTGCGGTCCACACTTTACGCTCCACACTCCACACTTTACACTTTACACTCCACACTTTTCACTCCACACCTTACAGTCTACACTCCACACTCCACAATTTAAACTTTACACTCCACACTTTACACTTGACACTTTACACTCCACACTCTACACTCCACACTCTACACACGACCCAACATTACACTTTTACACTCCACACTCTACACAATACACTCCACACTCCACACTTTACACTCCACACTTTACACTCCACACGTCGCACTCCACACTCCACACACTACACTTTACACTCCGCACTCGACACTTTATACTGTACACTCCACACTTTACACTATACACTTTACACTCTACACTCCACACTTTACACTCCACACTTCACACTTTAGACTCCACACTTTACACTCCACACTGTACAGTCTACACTCCACACTCCGCACTTTACACTTTACACTCAGCACTCCACACTTTACACTTTACACTCCACACCCTACACTTTACACACTCCACACTCCACACTTTACCCTCCACACTTTACACTCTACACTTTGCACTCTACACTTGACACTTTGCGGTCCACACTTTACGCTCCACACTCCACACTTTACACTTTACACTCCACACTTTTCATTCCACACCTTACAGTCTACACTCCACACTTTACACTTCACACTCCACACTTTACACTTGACACTTTACACTCCACACTCTACACTCCACACTCTACACACGACACTCCCCACTCCCCACTCCCAACATTACACTTTTACACTCCACAGTCTACACAATACACTCCACGCTCCACACTCCACACTTTACACTTTACACTCCACACTTTTCATTCCACACCTTACAGTCTACACTCCACACTCCACACTTTACACTTCACACTCCACACTTTACACTTGACACTCTACACTCCACACTTTACACTCCACACTTTACACTCCACACTCCACACTTTAGACTCCACACTTTACACTCCACACTTTACATTCCACACTACACTACACTACACACTACACACTACACTCTACACTTTACACTCTACACTTTACACTCTACACTTCACACTCCACACTCTACACTCCACACTCCACACACTACACTCCACACTTTACACTCTACACTTTACACTCTACACTTTTCACTACACTCCACACTCTACACTCCACATTCTACACTCCACACTTTACAATTTGCACTTTACACTCCACACTCTACACTCCACACTCTACACTCCAAGCTCTGCACTTTACACACTCTACACTTTACCCTCCACACTTCACACTCTACACTCCACACTTTACACTCCACACTCCGCACTTTACACTCCACACTCCGCACTTTACACTCCACACTCCACACTCTACACTTTACACTCCACACTCTGCACTTTACACTCTACAATTTACACTTGACACTTGAAACTCTGCACTACACACTTTACAGTCCACACTCTACACTCCACACTTTACACTCCACACTCCACACTTTATACCCCACACTCTACACTCAAAAATCCACACTCTATACTTTACACTCCACACTTTGCACTTTACGCTCCGCACTTTACATTCCACACTTTACACTCTACACTCTACACTTTTCACTCTACACTGTACACTCCACACTCTACACTCTTCACTCCACGCTCCTTACTTTACACTTTACACTTGATGCTCCACACTTTACACTCCATACTTTACACCAGACTCTACACTCAACACTCCACACTTAGCACGCCACCTTCTTCCATATTCCACAGTCTACGGTGCACTGGTATGGTAAGAGGGGAAAAATGTACAAAACTGTTCAAATAAACTGCTTCAGAAAAGTGTTCTGTGTGACTGCATATCCATATGTTTCGACATCTGTACCATTAACATACGTGTTATCGTGGGCTGCATCTTGCATGTTTTTTTCCGTCAGGGGTCGGTCTAGCGCAAATTTACTATTCAATGGGGTTACCTTCCAGTATTCAAATGTGGCAAGTGGAAATCCCCTCTAAATGGAGGTTTAAATGGGAGCATCATCTATAAATGGGGCATTTTCCATTGACACCTCTGATTACTAGGGTGTACATTTTTGCATCTATACGAAGGTTTTCATGCACCATTGGAATGGCACCACACACCTCATGCCGCTCAGGTTTTCAATTGTGGAATATGCCACCTGGCTTTTGGCTGAATGCCGGCAGCAAAAAATCAATGAAATGTGGAGAAATCGGGGTCCAAATTTAAGACCCACCAATTCCCGTTTTTGAGAAGGTCTTGTCATGTTTGGCAGACATCCATTGTTGGGATGCCCATATGAAAAACACCATGTGTACGTGGCAAGCCTGCGCAAACAAAATAGTGTTGCCTTTGCGAGTGCCTAAATTGCACAGTGTTTTGTGTACCGCTGTTTGAAGACCGTACTGTAGAGGGGAGCTGGATTTTCAGGGCAGACTAGGCTTATTGCCTTTTGATTTCTCCCCAAGAGAGGGACTTTAAGATATGAATAATACGAATGGCATCATTGGTAGAATAGACTCGAACTGGCCTTCGGGCCTTCTGCAGCTCAGGCGGTGAAAATTCACTTGGAAGTCACAGGAACCGATTCAGGCATGGCGTGTTGGAAAGGGATCAACTTCCTTTGAGCTCCAGATGGGAGATGTGAAAGACACATGGGAGTTGGACCTTTCATGCATCCACTGAATTGTTTGGGCACAGCCCACAGCAAAACTCCATGTGGGCGACTGGGAGATTTAGGTTCAACAGGCGCATCATGGACAACCGGCTTATATAGTTTCCAGCCAGGACAGGTTCTTTGGCAAGTTGCCTGATAAGCAGGGTCCGATGGATTGCTAATCACAGTCCTTCACCGACTGTCCGCCCTTCCCATGCTCCTACTCGGACGACGTTGTCATTTGTTGTCTATCATGTGGTTGTGAAATGTTATGAAACCCTTTGTGGCTCCATGAAACTCTTTGTGGCTCCCCAATGCTCCCCATTTCGAGTGACACAGAGTGACAGTGTCTGGAATTCTCTGAACGCAGGCGGCGGTGGCGGCATGAACGTCGGCTTTCTCCGTATGTTCCGGTTGTGTCACTTGGCGCCAAGTTTCACAGATCCGTTTTCTTCAACTTGAACCACTGGAAATATGTGGAAACCCTTGAGCCGGGATGTGAAACCACTCATTGAACCCTCTTTACCTACTTTTTATGGCCATATTAAAGCTGAAACACAAATGGTGGTTTGGGGCGTCAAAATTTAAGATCCTAGCGGTAAACTAGCTCGTTTGAAACAATGCCCCTCCAAGGCTGATCAGAATTCTCTGTTGAATTGGAGTGATTTTGTATCCTGACTTGCATAAGCCTCATAATGATTCATAACCCTCCAATATTTTTGCCACTGAGGCAAGATTGCCAAGGTCCTTCGAGTGTTTCGAACGCTGCGCTTTTTTACAGAGTTGCGCTTGATGATGGACTGTCCTTTGGTGATGCCAGGGTTTGGTGGTTCCACGGCGGGTTTCCAATGAAATCTGGATTCAGCATCCACTGAATCCACTCCTTTGCGAGCCCCCAAAGTCGTCCTGATTTGAAAATCGTGTGTTCAACACGAGCCTGGACCCCTCCGACGAATGGACCCCATCTTTCAGGAAGAATTGATGGTCCAATGTTTTCCCCAAGAACTGACCTGGGGGCCAGTGCGACAAATGCGGCCAATGCCGCCAGTGCAGTGCGGCACAGTGCGGCCATGTTCCACTGAGGTGTCTTGGGGTCCTTCATCAATGTCTTCTGGTGTTTAGTGCCGAGCTCAAGCCACATCCACCAATCACCAAGTTATTGATGGTTATTGTTTGTTATTGTCATTGTTTCCACCTGTTCAGTGTTCCAAGATGTCTCAAGATGTTCCAAGATGTTCCAGTTGCCCAAGTGGAGATTCCAAGGCATTTCAGTCGCCTTGGATGGTAGCCTTGGATCATCGATTCCGAGGCCATGATTGTCTTCGTCCTCTACGTTTTCAGCCTCTTAATTGTTCAGGGCTTGACGGAGTACCTCCTCGCCGAGGTGCCTTTCCATTACCCAAAAAACCGGAGTGGTGGATGTTTCTCTTTTGGCCATGAAAAGCGACTGGAAATCATGGAGCCATAGCTCTGGCCAGGTTGACAACCTGACCGAGGCGCGGCCCATGGCATTGCAGCCCACATTTCATGAGTAGTCATTGTTGGTATGAAAGTAAGATAAAGATAGATACAGTGTAACAGATACAGTAAGTATCTCGGCTTGGCTTCATTTTGCCCTCAAGATAAAGAAATCCGGCAGCATTTTGAGGTGAAACCCAGAAAGGAGTATTTTGGGGAGATCCGCTGGGTTTGGCCGCCCAAAACATGGGGACAGCGGATTTTCCAAACTTACGATTCCTTCCAAAAATATGATGGCTCAATATGGCTCAATGATTTGAATAGGATGACATGACACGTGGAAACTGTTCTGGTGCAGGCCTACAAGGATCAATATGTTCGCTTCTTTGGTTCAGTCAGCCAGATTCCTCAGATGCCGCAGTCCAAAACTGTGGCTTCGGACCCATTTTTAGAGATTTCCCGAAAACTCAGCCGCACCCAAAAATTCGGGGGGTGCTGGAGTGCAGGACTTATCTCTTGACCATCCCAGGATTCATCAGTGTTTCATATCCTCGATTAGTGCCTAAGTCCTGGAACTATGCAAATGTATTATATTAGAATGATTTACATATCTGACGCGGACAATGATCTGCATATAGGTATATATATATATATATGAAATAGATACATTATATAAATATTCAAAACTTGTAAGGCCTTTGTAAATGGTTCGTGGCCACGTTCCAATGATTGCATTCTGATTCCGAGGCAATGCAGTCATCACGCTCTTCCAGGCTCATTGGTCGGCCGGACTCAGTTTTCTAAGAGATCTTGACCTCTTCCTTTGGAATATGAAACGAGAATCGATGATAAGGCAATAAAACATGGTTTGCCTAAGACTTGCTTAAGTCAGAAGTTGAATCAATATCAGCAATTCCACGTTGACGGTAGATGATTCAGTGATTCATCCCGATACTCCGATGACATCACACGTTGTTTGGATTTGGCGATGACATCACACAAACGCTTGAAAAGGCAGTTCCGAACCCTTCATGCCATTCTCTTCCATAGGTAGAACTTTGGAACTTACTGATTCCATTGCGTAGAAGAGACGTTTCACAAGGTTCAACCAAGTTATTAATATGTATGTATATATATATATATTCAAATGTTCACTAGTATGCGGTATATATGTACATATAGACAATATGATCAAATGATACAATCATATAGTTTACATGATATAAATATGTAATTTCACATGTACACTTGTACACTCTACAAAATAAAACGCAACACACATACAACATAGGATATATGATATATACATGTACTGTACACACTGTGATATTAAATATACCATATGTGATCTACAATATACAATATACAATGTATCATACATTTTATTCAGCATATGACACATGATGCAAGTAATTCTGCATTCAACATTTGATGATATTTGATACTCAAAATATGATAAAAATAAATCATATAGAATACACAATATGTCTCAAATATACATATGTACGCGTGCATCTAGTTTGTTATGTATGCATGTTTATAATATTTGATGTTTAGTACGTAATTTATGATGTGTTGCATGTACTATAGAATATCGCCTTGAATACACTATACCCTCTGGTAATTTAACATAGCTATTGCAAATGACCATTTATAGTTGATTTTCCCATTAAAGATTGTGATTTTCCATAGCTATGTAATAGTTTACCAGAGGGTACACTGTATGATATGGAATTAACCCAGCTTTGCCAACAGATTCCGATCCTCCAGGCTTTCAGGGTTCCCTTCAAGCCGGAAATTTTCTGCTCGGCGAAAGCGCACCACTCCACCCAGAGATTGAAACCCAACTGTCACAGCCTAATAGATAACACAAATTATTTTGTACATAGTACATATCATATATCATATAGAGTATACAAAAGCTGTTTATGTGCTGTGCATATTCAAATCATAGAACACATGACACAGAATATACTTTTAAAAAATGCCATATAATACTCAGTATTTCTCAGTATCTAATTTGCAATATATAGTATTTGATATACCACATGTAGAATGTAATCTCCAATATGTAGTATGCAATAAATGATACACAATATTATATAGAACAAAATATGTGCCATATATGATAGTATTCAAAACGGAGCATAAATACACACTGCTGATCATATGATGTATATATAGAGAACACAATATATAATACACAGTATATAATGATCCCCCTAGACCCTTGGAATTACAAAAATGCGCCAACCCCGGTTGACCCATGCATCCTGGGTCTATTTTATGCCAAGTGATACGTGGGTACCCGGTTTTCGTCGAATGGGGCGTCCTTTTTTTACTGTATAATTTGCAATTATATATATATATGTAGTAAATGATATAGAGCCTTTTATGTACTGAATACATCAAATTCAGCATATACAATTACAACACATATCATAAACAACGCAAGTTAAACAGTACATAGCAGTAGTTATGCACGATATTACAGAAAATATTTCACGTTATAAGTTATCATATCATGTACATATATACACACAATGTAATATGTTGAACGACATACTATCATTATTTTATACTGATACAACACATGGTTTTGATTTAATGCAATGCACATATATGATATCACCATATTGCTCACAATGTGCCCTCATATAGTACAGGTTTCATAATATAAACACATTTGGATTGAGTATAGTATATCATGTACACATGTACAATATGCGACAGATAGCAAGCAATACATGTACATAAAAAATACAGCTTGAAATATAAAACATACTAGACATAGTATATAACATGTCATAGCAATACACATTTTAGAGCAATAGATTGTCACCATGCACATTCACAAATACATTCATAAAGCAGATTACATGATGTATATGACCTAAAGAAAATTGTACTTAATGTATAGCAATAAACATATTACAGCAATAGATTGCAGCTATACACACAAGCCTAGCAATATCATATATGAAATATTTAACATCAAGGTCAAGGTAAGACGATTTGTTGATCATACATCCTTTGATTCCATCCCTCCTATCCGTTTAGGCTACCACTGCTGGGATCGACTGGAGCGAAGCCTTTGTGGTTCTTCGCGTGGGGAGAGACAGCTGCAACGGGGTGCAACGATGCCGAAATCACATCCCAAGACACGTGACGCTTGTTTCTCAATGAGTGTACCCAATTTTGAAAGAGTCACATAAATATAAGACATCAAACAGTGTAAGTCAGCATAGCTTTTGCTATTTGGTTTCTTTCAAGCGCTCTCCTTCAATACAAATGCCCACGAAAAGTGTGGTTGTGCAGGAAATTTCTATCCCACCATGCAGGTCATCTCCCAGTGCTAAAAACTGGAGGTTAATCCAGCCCTCAGCTGGATTTTCCGACCAACTGAGTTAAGGCTGCAATGCTACTTTACAGGGCAAAACCGCTCTGATTGCCCCAACCACTATTGTGGATATAGTTGATTGAGTGGTCCCGTATCTGTAGTGCATAATTTGCCTTGATTCATGGAAATGTTGATGTAGCCGCAAAAAACCATCCACACATTGCCAGATCGACCGAAGTGGGATTCAGGTGGCTGGAGTCTTTCCGTCCATTTGCTTCTTGACGTATGCCTGGGGCTCATGAAGCTGGTGTGGGGTGCTTGTGGACTTGTGGTGCTTGACGGCAAGCCGCTACGCCTGTGAAAGGAAGATGTTTCAAGCTTCAAGCTGTTGTTTTTCTTCGTTTTCGAGTCTCAAACCTGTGGAACCTGCGAAATTTCTATGATGATTCTATGGGTGGATCATTTTGGAGCAATGCCATGCAGCAACACCCATAGGTGTAAGAACCCGCGTGTGGACTGAGAGGTGTAAGACGCCTAAATCCTGAGAGGGTTCTTCCGCTTCTGTCAGCTCACAGCTCCCATCATTTTACAAAGTCCTGCTTGATCGGAGTCTCATTGAAAATTGCTGTTGATCTGCATTTCATTTGATGTCACTGGCATTTGATCTCACAGCTTCCATTTTTCCTGATTTTGGGCTCAAAATGAGCAGGTGGAAGCTGCGGCAACCAACTCCGTTGCTTAGCCCCCAGCAAAACCATGTGCAGGGTGCAGAGCCTACAGAGGCGACCCAGGAGATGGACATGGCGTCCGCTCCTTGTCTTTTTCCCGAGGATGCTCCTGAATGGTCACCGCACCTGATGTGGAGAGAAGTTGCTCTAGCAAGGAAAACAGAAGCAGATGCTGAAAGAAAACCAGCAGGCTTTGCAGAAGAGATGGCGAGGTCGACCAACATATGGTTCCTCTTTGCACTTCCTGAGGCTGTGCAACCTGGTGAAGTTGGTGTGATGGAGGTGGAAAACTGGGATGCGCGCAAATCCCGGACGTTTTGAGTTTGGGACGGTCGAGGACCCGCACACCCGGCAGGATTTCCAGGCGATGGACCTGATTTCCAGGCAGTGAAACCTGTGACGAAGAAGCCCACCGAATGTTAAAAACGACAAGGTCTCCCCAGAATTCGTTGCACCCTGGAGGAGCTCCTGGCAATGTCCCGTGCTGAGTGTGCCGAGGCGGTGAGATCAGCGTTGAAGATCCGGTAGACCAAAATGGCAGACGAAATGGCAGCGGCTTTTGAGGAAAGTGAAGCTCTTTGCACCTACCTCACTGTGGCCTGGCACGTGCAGACAGCCTTTTGAATCCACTGGATCGGCGGATTGCATCTGGAAGACACCAAACCCAAACACGTGCACCACGAACAAAAACTGCTGCCTGCACTGACATGTGATTCGTTGATGCATCATTCAGCACACCTCTCAGTCCACACGGGTTCGTGCAGTTGTAAGACCTAAATCTTGAGAGGGGTTAGACTTTTTTGTCAAGTTGCAATGATTGAACATAATTCGTCGGGGCGATCATTGCAAGTGCTGTGATGACACTCGGCAGATCCTGTGAGCGTTGACAAATTTATTGCTGTCAGGTGATCATCTTCACGATTTCTGTTTGGAACATTGCAGCTTGCCCGCAAACGGCAAGCATTCGGCTATGGGTCAACACTAATCAATATTTATGGATACCGTTTTTCGGGGGATGAACGCCCATAGATCCCAGCTGCTCTAATGTGAACAGAAGCGGCGCAGGGTTTTGACCCAGAAACATTTTCAAGCCTGGACGGAATTTGTGGCTGAAACAGAGAATATACAAGAAGTGGAAACCTAATATATACGCAACGCAGATCCGACAGTCTGAGGTCACAAGTACCTTCGTCGAAAAGGTGCGCGCAGCTGGATTTTGCCCTTCTTGAATTTGGCGTTGGGAATGACCTCTGGTCATTTAGATTGACGTGCTATTTCGGGATGATTCTTGTTCAGGCCATGAAGCTGGCCCAGCCAGATTTGGAGTCCATGATTCATGAAAAGTGCCTTGGACCGGACCAGGGGGCCGGAGGTTATCTCGGGGATTGGCTGATGCTGGGGGAATTGGTGGCCTGCACATCCAAGGAATATCAAAGATGCCAAAGATGCAGGAGATCTCGCCCGTCTGTTCCTTCCATTCACCTCCAAGAATGTTTCTTGGCACATGGCTGAACTCGGCAGGCTCAGAACTGCATGCAAGAGGGGATCCATCTGATGATTTTTCGTGAAATCATGTGAAATCAGAAGCCTTTGGCTAATAGATAGGTTCTTGCCAAAGGAGGGATACGTTTAACCATCGTCTTGGATTCTTGATGTTGGAACAACGGCCACAGATGGCCATGCAAGCCCTTTTGTCGCAGCAAACCATCTCCGCATTCACCACTTGCTGCTTTTTTTCCCATCATCCGACAAGGGTTATTCTCGCAGTGGCTGGGATGTTTTCCCTGCTATTTGAGTATTGCTTCGGGTTTCCAGCTCTAAGGACGGGGCCACAGTAGCAGAGAGAGCCAGAGTCAACAACTTGCCCACAGGATTTTCCTTCAACAATGAAAATGTCCTTCTTCGGTCCATCAATTCCATAAAGACCAAATGGCCGAGCAACGAAGTGCCACAACCAGCCAACCAGCCTGGTCGCTTCAGCGGTTCAGCCCGACCAAGGATGAGGGAGATGATGTAATCTCCTTCGAACAGATTCGTGCAGCTGCCGATCAACCCAGGCGGAGCTGGGCGGAGACTCTACTTCTGGAAGACACGGCTGGATCTGAATGGCTAAAAACCCGCATCTCAACCATGTAAGCCATACACCCACACGAACATATATATATATATACAAATATATATATACATATATATATTTTACATATACATCTACACATGCACACATGTGCACATACATGCAGATGTATGCACATATGCATATAGGCAAACATACATAGATGCATACATACCTACATTCATATATGCATAAATGCATAAATGCATTTATGCATACATACATTACATACATACATACATACATACATACATACATACATACATACATACATACATACATACATTACATACATACATACATACATACATACATACATACATACATACATACATACATACATACATACTGTATATAACTTTTCATATATACAAATATACGGAAATACATACACCCATATACACAAATATGCATATATATATACTAATATACATATATACTTATATACATATATAAATGGAAACACACATATATATATATGTATACGTAAATACAAATCAACATATATACATATAGATGCATATGTAGGTATATGCAACGATACAAATAGACATATATATACATGTTTACAAACATACATATATCCGTATGTACATATGCACATATATACATATACATTTATACATATACACATATGTGCATACCTACATATCTACATATATACATATTTATTTGCATATATCCATATATACATGTATAAAAATATTCTCATATACATAAATGCATATGTACATGTATGAATATATGCAAATATACATAAGTACTACCCATATATACGTATATACATAAACATATACGTATATATATATATACATATTTACATATTTACACGTATACATATATGCATATATATCTAAATACGTATATATTTATAGCCATTCATTTATTGTGACATATTTGCGTATTTAGATACATTTACATATATACATATATACATAAACACATGTATACATATAAACATGTATTTTTCCCAACGCACGCACACACACACATATATATGTATATATATATACGTGGGATATCATATGGTCTGACCCAGTTATGATTTCCAAAGTGGGTGTGTGTCCAATGCTCTCATGCAGATACATGCGCTGATCAAAGCATCTGTGCAGTATGCTTGCATTCGTCCATTCATCCGCACATCCACGTATAAACAAGCACGGTTGGATGCCCACATACTTACATGCTACGTTAACCTGCAAATGCACATGCTTACATACTGAAATTCCGAAGGGACACATGCAGAATGCGTGCACATGTTTAAGCATCGCATTTGCGATCGCAACTTTTTGAACACCGGAATAGCTCACCAAAGTCATTTGGAAGAAAATTGTCACTGCAATGCCTTCCTGTCCAAAGACTTTGCACAAGTAGACGCAATGAATTTTCAGACTGGACATAAATTCCGGCTCCTTTCAGCCAGAACCAGTTTAGTCGGCTACGGATTCGAATGGCACCCCATCTCAAAAAAAAATCTTTAAATCAAAGCATTGGAAATCCACCACAAACTGGTGGACTTGTGAATCTTTGGCTCGGTCCCATGGCAGCCATGACAGCCATGGCAGGTTCCGTCAAGATCTGACCGTCCGTGGAGTTGACATCAAAAATGACGCTTGGCACAGCTGTTCCGCCTTGGCCAGAGGGGGGTCTTTAATGGAAGAATGTCGTACCAAACTAACATTAAAACACGTCTATAATGTGATTTCATGGAATTTAATGGTGCTAAGTGTTTGCTTTAGCCTTCACTTCCAGCACAAGTAAGAACTAAGAAGACTCAGGAGAGTTTACATAGGTGTTTTCCATTGTTTTCCTCAAGGGTTGCCGCTTGCAGCTAAACCCTTTATCCCTAGCGAGGTCGAAATCTTTTTCAAGATGCTCAGTGCGGTGAATGAGGGCGGCGTGAAGCTCCAAACCCTGGTGACGCTTGGCTTCGAGGGTCCGTCCGAGAGTTGGATGTAGGGACACCGCGTGGTTTTGAAGAGAGGGAATGAGATGGTGATCCACAACACTGATTCTTGTCATATCACTTTCCAACTGGGATGCCATTGATGCCACTGTACGAAACCGTGTGGTTCTTCTATTCGCTTCCTCTGGAAAAAGGGCACCGTGCTTCCCCCAATCATTTCGTATGGGTCAGCATTTAAGAGTCGGAAACTAAAGCGAAGTTTGATCTGTTTTGGATAGTGCGATAAACCCAACCATTCGAGCCGAGAAACACCAAGCTTATTGTTTTCTTTTGAACCGCCATGCGCAGTAGCATCAGGTATGTCTCACTGTTGGGTTTACCACATCAATCCATTTGACCCAAATCTTTACCACCTCGCAATGTACACATCAGCATTTTCATGTTTTTTTTGCCATGATCAAAAGGTGGATTGTATACCCGCATTGGGGGATGGTCATCACTCCATTGGATTTCCATTGTGGGATGGATGGCGACAAGCCATTTATATCTCCCATGTAACTTGACCCATTCGCACTTATACAGGTCACATGTAGGTTACATAGGTTGCAAAACAGGTCATAAACCACCTCTATATGAATACCATCAGCATTTTCATGTAAAAAAACGATAACTATGTTATGACCATCAACCATGAATCCCATTTCTTTAAAACTAATCTAAGGAGCGCCTGTGTGCGGATGAAAGGGGTGGCCACGAGCATCGACCTGCAGTCAGTGAGTTTTGAGATCCAGATGATCTCCAGTTTTCTGGCGAAAACCGCTACCGCAGAGAGATCATGGTTGGATCCTGTCGACCTGCTTTTTTTTAAAGGGGATTTTCCAAGCAAAGCAACAAAGATGGAGAACGTCACAATTTCGAACAGGTAATTCACTGAACTAAATGGGACATTTTCATAGCTATATTAAATTACCAAAGGGTAATTGGAGAATGGTTGAATGGTTGGTGGCGAATCATATCCGAAAAAAACGGAATTGTATGAATGTGATATATACTCTCTATATAATATACATTGAGTATATGTATATGTATATTAATATTATGAAGATAGACACACACACACAGACAGAAACACTCTGTGACATCTTACAACATCACCAGTGGATGGAATGGTTCCAGCAGATCAATATAAGTGGAAGCGTCGCAACTAAGGTGTGATGGAACAGAAATTCAAGGACCGCTTAGCGGCTTAGCTTGAGCTGTTCTGGAACTTTCTCCATCACTTTCTGAGCCGTAAGTTGCTCACATCCCGAATCCATGGCAGGAGCAAGACAGCTACCTTTTCAGCATTCAGCAATTGCAGAGCACTCAGTATGGCTGCGGAACCATGAAAAGCTCAATAATAAAAAGGCAATCAACAACAGGTTCCCAAAAGGTTGTACTCTCAGCGCTCACTTTCATAGAAGCACCCGGGGAAGACAAGAAATGAAGATTCTTCCAAAATGGGTGTTTGGAAGATGTAATCACCACCTGCATCTGATTTTGTTTGTTTTATTTTCTCTGTCATATGCTTTGTATGATGTACATCTCATTACATTAGATGTACCCTTTGGTAAACTAACATAGCTATTGAACATAGCCATTTATAGTTGATCTACCCATTAAAATGGTGATTTTCCATAGTTTTTTGTATGTTTACCAGGTCGGGTAGAGTAGCACCAGACGGTGTCCCCCCAATGCTCCTTGAGGCTCCTGGAGCGCCATGATCTGGAGCTTCCTTCACAAGGCTCCTGTGGGAGATTGTCTTGGAAAATTATTTCTGTTAAGTGGAATATTACAATGTGGGGCCCCCTAGATAGATTTTTGTAAGTTGGTTTATAACTCCAATAACTCTGGTTTATGATACGCAAACAACTATAGTTAATGGGATTTATAAACCAACTTATAACTGGGGGGCCCCACATTGTATTGATGTTGAAGTGTTATTACTGGTGAAATAATATTCCAACTAGTTGTGTTTGAAAACTTGCAACGTCAATAAGTGGAATATGACTGATTTTGTGAAATATTGAAGTAGTAACACTAAAAATTCACTGTTGGTTGGCCAAATGTTAGCTGTTTGCAATCTCTGATGCGATGCCAAGTCGATAGAGTCGAGGTGACCACGACCAATCAACGGGTGCAGAAAGACGTCCCCCAAAAACTGGCTTTTGATTGTAGAAAAATGGGTACCCTCTGGTAATTTGTTACAGTTTGCTATTGAACATGGCCATAGAAATAGTTGATTTACCCACTAATAGCATGGTGATTTTCAACAGCTTTTTGTATGTTTACCAGGTCCGGTAAAAACTTGGCGTCTTTTTAATCCGCTGGTAGCAGGAAAATCCCATGGAACTCCGCTTGGATTTTCCAGCTTCGTGACCAGCCACAGGCTGGAACGTCGATGAGCCTTTGCCCCTCGGTGCATCGAGTTGAGGATGCACCTGTAGGAACAGGCATGGATGCTTTATAAATGATAGTTTATAATATGATTGTATGATATGAATAGTTGCATACCTATATTACTATAATCTATATCTATCTATACATATATCTATAATCTATATCTATATATACATATCTCTATATATATATATATACATTAAGGAGTATATCAGAAGCAGGTCGTCCCCTGTTGGGCGTTCCAAGGGGTGCCGTTTGAGGTTGGTGGTTGAGCCAGTTGAGCCAAAGGTGCCTTGGTCGAGAATCAATGGACATTTTTTGTTATTTTTATTTCATCTTATTATTTTATATTTTATATTTATTTCCTTGTATATTATATTTGTTTCTTTTCATTTTGCTTTCATGTCCTTTCATATTCCAATGTATATTGCAATGTATATGTATATGTATATGTATATGTATATGCATATGCATATGCATATGCATGTGCATGTGCATGTGTATATATATATACACACACATATCTAACGTGTATATAAACAGGTGCCCATTGTGTATCAATCTACAAATCGGGAAAGATCGAACACCTGATTCCCATACATCTTTTTGGTGATTGACATTTTTGTTTCAGACTTGTTTCGAACAACAAGAAGATCAGCCCAACATTGTGTGGATCACCAGCCGTTTCTGGTTCGGTTCCCCATTCTGTTGGTCGCCTTTCATATGGATTGCGTCCTCAAGCTGCCTACTTTCTGGGGGAATCCCAAGACAAATGGAGTTTCAGCAGTAAATCGGTTCATGTCTTCCCCAAGCACTTGGGGTGAACGGCTGCCCGCATGTCAGTCGAGTACACCTGTATAACTTCGGTCGCCTTCCTAATTGGGTTTACTCAATCCTGCCAGTTGAATGCCAATTTAAAAAAAAAGTTGCCGCTGAGCGCCCCTGCATGCCCCTGCCATCATTTCAGACATGACAGGTGCTTGATGTGGAGATCTCTGGAGGTGCGATCCAGGGTCACCACGATCTCATTTGAAGATGTTTTTTAATTTCTTTGCAGATTGGGCACGACAATTAGATGGTGAAAATTCGGTATATAATGAAGAATCGCTTTTCATATTTCACACAAATGATTTTTTGGGTGCCCAACTTTGGCTGCAAAAATTCCCATGCCATGAGATGTTCCCCAACCCCAAGATGATCGTAGAGGCCTTGCACGTTTCACGTTACGGAACTCTTACGCCATGCGTCTGACTCATCCAACTCGGCATATTTGGAACAGAGTTTCATACAGTATTTAGACGACTAGTCGCCTGACATTCTCATATCTTTGTTGCAAAAGCAGCGTTGAAATTCATAGCAGCGTTGCGTATGTGTTGATGGTGTTGATTGTGTTGATTGTGTTGATCGTTGCGATTTCAAAGGAATTATGATTACAGTAAAGTCAGACAAGCTACTTGCCCGTTGTGGAGCATTTGCTCTCTGCAGGACCTGGCGGAGCTTCACAGGCCGTTTTGTAGCAATGGGCACCCCTTAAGGGTTGCCCTTGGTAGAAACCTTCTGCTGGGGGGTCACTTTCGGGCAAAGGACCAAAAGGACATAAAAGGACCATCAACATGATCTGAAAGTATCAGAAGGGTTTTTTCAACATCTTACTACAGTTGGGGAATCGAAAACCCGGCTCCGATTGTCAATCTTTCTCCTGGTTGAAGGCCCTGCAAAATCTGCAAATTTGAGCTGACGTGGCCCACGCAAACGCTGGAGCGCGGCTGGAGACGGTCAGGAATTTGGATCCCAAAAAAGGATCAAAACATGATTTCCAATGGTAAAAGCGATGTTTTTTCAGCTTTCAACACAATTTTCCAAAGGAATCATGGACTGGCAGGATTTCCTGGATTAGAATGCAAGAGGCCCTTCAGCCACCCAAACTTTGGCCCTTGAGGTGGGTTGGGCCGCAAGATAGTATGGGTCAATAGAAAGAACACACCATGCGACAATGTGGCTGGATGATGCTGGATGCATTTTTGGGATCTCGACCTGCCCTTCGCAGCCCCTGGCGCGCCCCCAGTTTTGCACGTGTCCACTGCTGACTTCTGATCGTTGCCAAGCAAGTGATCGGGTTCTGGCAAGGGCAAAACGCCATATCTCGCGGTACGAGTTCCACAGGGTGTTTCAAAACGCGGATTTTCAGTGTGTACAGACTTTGAAACCAGATTTGTTTCCAATTCTGCGTAAAATTGCAGACCCTGTGGCGAGCTCGCACAGAGCGGCGCTGCCTCACTGCCGAATGTGCGATGGTCACCGACGTCTGTGTGCTACCGAAAGCTGAATTATAATAGCTCACATAGCACCAGGCATCTGCGGTCATTCCATGGTGCCTTTGGTCATATCCATTGTTGATTTGGTGGCCACAAGTTGCTGACTGCGCCAGGAATTTTGTCCTCGGGGCGCTCTGCGATCCCAAAGGGCGAAATCGCAGCCCCAACTTTTGCTCAGTTTTTGATTCGGCCGTGACAATGGAAGCTGCTTAAGTCTGGTTCGAGTCTTGGTAGTTGGGTAGGTAATATCCCAGGTCGATGGGGGTCTGATCAGAAGAGTTCAAATTTGTGAACGACTTGTGGAATTGCTTTGGCTCCTTGTTCTTCAGGAAAGAGGCTCCACAAGTCGTAGGTTGTTTTTCCAGCAGGAGGTCTGTGGATCCAGATTTCAACGTGGTCACTACATGTACAGATGCAACCAGATACGTGCTTTGGAGCATTATATCTTTCAGCAAACAATTACAGTAGGCACACTCAGATGCCTACATAAGTAGGACATCCATGCACTACCGTCACTGTGGAGTCAGTTTCAAGAAAGGCCTGATCTGGATTGATGCGGAATCCCTATGGGTAATTATAGGTTATGTTATAATGATAAGCCAGCTGGTATAACACCCTATACGAATCCACAGGGCAGCATCCTAGTCCAATTCGCCGAGTCAGAGATGTATCCAGCCTTTCGATCCGGGTGCGGTCAAAAAACAGCAGGGTTGGGCAGTTGGGCGGTTGGGAGACACTGATGGGATATTGCACCAGTTTTCTTCAGTTTCTTTAGCATTGGAAAAATGTAGGGACCTCCACTACCTCAAAAATACTGGACATATTCTAAGATGTTTATTTCGAATGCCTAGGCATTCATTGCTGGATTTCAGAGTCATCATTTGCTGAACAAGCCGTGGAAAACAAGGCAAAGAGCGTTGGCCCAGGGGCTTGCATGGCTCGCCTTGTCCTGGGAACCAGGAAATACCCAGCACTTGCCCTGTCACGGTTCTTCTTTGCCAGAGTAAGTTAGGACCTGTGCATCCTAACTTCCAAGTATTTCCCAACATTTTTGTACCAATGACGTCGCATCTTTTTGGCCCACGCAGAAGGCTGCCGCAGGCTGCCAAGCGCTTGATGGGATGGCAGCAACGGGCCGGGACCTCAGTTCGAGCAATTTTTGGGCAAGTGATGGCGATGACGATGACGATGACGATGACGATGATGATGATGATGATGATGATGGATGAGGATGGTGACGACGATCATGATGACGACGGTGATGATAATGATGATGCTGATGACCATGACGATGACGGTGACGATGACGGTGACCGTGACGATGACGATGACGATGACGACGATGAAGATGTTGATGATGATGGTGATGATGGTGGTGGTGGTGATGATGATGATGATTTTGATGATGATGACGATGACAAATGACGATGACGGTGACGGTGATCGTGACGATGACGATGACAATGATGATGTTGATGATGATGGTGATGATCACGAAAGGTAGCCTCCAAGCGGGCTACCTTGAGTTTGACTTTGCGAAGCAAAGGGGCGGGCTGGACCCCTTATCCCTGAACGACCAGGAGAAAGGGACCCCCCTCATCATCAGCCTCAGCCTCAGCAGCAGCATCAGCATCATCATCATCATCATCATCATCATCATCATCATCGTCAGCATCAGCATCATCATCATCATCATCATCATCGTCATCATCATCATCCTTTGCATCCTCCTCGTCGCCATCGTTCGCATCCTCCTCGTCCTCCACATCCTTGCCATCATCATCATCATCATGCTCCTCCTCATCATCATCGTCATGTTACTCCTATCATCTTTCTATCATATTCCTCCTCATCCTCATCATCAGCCTCAGCATCCTCATCATCATCCTCCTCCTCCTCATCATCCTCATGTTATTCACTTGTTCCTTCCTGTCGCTCTACACACACACAGACGCTTTTACACACAGACACTTTTACACACAGACTCCTTTACACACAGACGCTTTTACACACAGACACTTTTACACACAGACCATTTTACACACAGACACTTTTACACACAGAAGTTTTTTAAACACAGAAGCTTTTACACACAGAAGCTTTTACACACAGACTCCTTTACACACAGACGCTTTTACACACAGACACTTTTACACACAGACTCCTTTACACACAGACGCTTTTACGCACAGACACTTTTACACACAGACCATTTTACACGCAGACACTTTTACACACAGAAGCTTTTAAACACAGAAGCTTTTACACACAGAAGCTTTTACACACAGAGGCTTTTACACACAGACTCCTTTACACACAGACGCTTTTACACACAGACTCCTTTACACACAGACACTTTTACGCACAGACACTTTTACACACAGACCATTTTACACACAGACACTTTTACGCACAGAAGCTTTTAAACACAGAAGCTTTTACACACAGAAGCTGTTACACACAGACGCTTTTGCGCACAGACGCTTTTACACACAGACGCTTTTACACACAGACTCCTTTACACACAGACGCTTTTACACACAGACACTTTTACACACAGACTCCTTTACACACAGACGCTTTTACACACAGACACTTTTACACACGGACCATTTTACACACAGACACTTTTACGCACGGAAGCTTTTAAACACAGAAGCCTTTACACACAGACTCCTTTACACACAGACGCTTTTACACACAGACACTTTTACACAGACTCGTTTACACACAGACGCTTTTACACACAGACACTTTTACACACAGAAGCTTTTAAACACAGAAACTTTTACACACAGAAGCTTTTGCACACAGAGGCTTTTACGCACAGACTCCTTTACACACAGACGCTTTTACACACAGACTCCTTTACACACAGACGCTTTTACACACAGACACTTTTACACACAGCCCATTTTACACAGACACTTTTACACACAGAAGCTTTTAAGCACAGAAGCTTTTACACACACAAGCTTTTACACACAGAGGCTTTTACACACAGACTCCTTTACACACAGGCGCTTTTACACACAGAAGCTTTTACACACAGACTCGTTTACACACAGACTCCTTTACACACAGACGCTTTTGCACACAGACGCTTTTACATACAGACCCTTTTACACACAGACCCTTTTACACACAGACGCTTTTACACACAGAAGCTTTTACACAGAGAAGCTTTTATACACAGAAGCTTTTACACACAGAGGCTTTTACACACAGACTCCTTTACACACAGACGCTTTTACACACAGACGCTTTTACATACAGACACTTTTACACACAGACCCTTTTACACACAGAAGCTTTTACACACAGAAGCTTTTACACACAGAAACTTTTACACACAGAAGCTTTTACGCACAAACACTTTCACGCACAGAAGCTTTTACACACAGACACTTTTACGCACAGAAGCTTTTAAACACAGAAGCTTTTACACACAGAAGCTTTTACACACAGAGGCCTTTACACACAGACTCCTTTACACACAGACGCTTTTACACACAGACTCCTTTACACACAGACGCTTTTACAGACAGACACTTTTACACACAGACCATTTTACACACAGACACTTTTACACACAGAAGCTTTTAAACACAGAAGCTTTTACACACAGAAGCTTTTACACAAAGAGGCTTTTACACACAGACTCCTTTACACACAGACGCTTTTACACACAGAAGCTTTTACACACAGAGGCTTTTTTACACACAGACTCCTTTACACACAGACGCTTTTACACACAGACGCTTTTACACACAGACGCTTTTACACGCAGACCCTTTTACACACAGACCCTTTTACACAGAAGCTTTTACACAGAGAAGCTTTTACACACAGAAACTTTTACACACAGAGGCTTTTACACACACAGACGCTTTTACGCACAGAAGCTTTTACACACAGACACTTTTACGCACAGAAGCTTTTAAACACAGAAGCTTTTACACACAGACTCCTTTACACACAGACCAGAACTGCTGCGGGTCTTGGAGAGCTATCCCATGGCTCCTGCTGCTGCAGCTGTGTTTTGCGTGGGACAAAAAGGTCACCCGCGTCCCCCTGCGACGCACCTACCTTTCGTGTCACCCCTTCTCAAGTGGTGGTGGTGGTGATGATGATGACGATGATGTCGATGATGATAATGATGCGGATGACCCTGACGCTGACGGTGACGATGACGATGACGATGACAAATGACGATGACGGTGACGGTGACCGTGACGATGACGATGACGATGATGATGTTGATGATGATGGTGATGATGGTGGTGGTGATGATGATGATGACGATGATGTCGATGATGATAACGATGCGGATGACCCTGACGCTGACGGTGACGATGACGATGACGATGACAAATGACGATGACGGTGAATGTGACCGTGACGATGACGATGACGATGATGATGTTGATGATGATGGTGATGATGGTGGTGGTGATGATGATGATGATGACGATGATGTCGATGATGATAACGATGCGGATGACGCTGACGCTGACGCTGACGGTGACGATGACGATGACGATGACAAATGACGATGACGGTGACGGTGACCGTGACGATGACGATGACGATGATGATGTTGATGATGATGGTGATGATGGTGGTGATGATGATGATGATGACGATGATGTCGATGATGATAACGATGCGGATGACGCTGACGCTGACGCTGACGGTGACGATGACGATGACGATGACAAATGACGATGACGGTGACGGTGACCGTGATGATGACGATGACGATGATGATGATGATGATGGTGGTGGTGGTGATGATGATGATGAGGATGACCATGACCATGACGCTTACGCCCAATGAAACTAGCATTTCTTCCCTTTGCCAGCCTTTAGGCATGGAGGCCTTTGTCGTGCCATGTGGCCACCAGTCCACCGTGCAGGCGGGGCATTTTTACAGACTTAGCAGCAGCAACAAACCATGGATATGGGGATCGTTTAGGATAGATCAAAACTTATGATGCATTGTGACATTGAGGGTGATGAACGTTCGTTTGGGCTGTTTTTTGGATGCATTTCCCGGTTTTTCTAGTTTGATATCCACCTGAGTTCTGTTTTGACCCTGTTTTGACCCACAGGCATCTCACAAGACACATGCCAGGTGCATGGTGTGGCACCAGTGGCAACTGCGAAGCCGGGCTTTTGGCCTGGCGCCTGGATTCAGTGCCGGCAAAACCGGCACCACATTTTTGGAAAAAACAAAAACTGAAACACTTTAGTTGGCTTTAGTTCGCTTTTGCTCATTTGGGATATGGCAGTGTGTCAAAACCTTGTACCCCTGGTGAACATCAAAATAGCTGGTAAATGGATGTTCATCCCCCTAAAAATGGTATTAATAGGTATTGATCCATACCCATATTTGGGTTGAATTACAGAATACCGAAGACATTTTCACAGCAGATTTCTGGGCAGCGTCATGTCGTCATGTCGCCATGTCGCCATGTCGCGTCTGGCGCCAGTTGGGGCCCAAGTGGGCAGAGTGGCGAAAACGGCCTGCCTTGCTGCATGACTACTTGAAGAATTTGCTGAAGGAGAACCCTCTTCTGGTGCCATCATTATTGAACATGGCAGCAGAAAAGGGGATTCAAGTTCAGTTGCTTTTTCTGAGTTTTGGAACTGGTTTGGTATTTGCAGTGCATCCTCTAACTCATTTTGTCATGTTTATCCAGTCGAAGGAGCACTTAGACTAGCTGCTAGCTGCGTTTTTTCATGTTTTTTCCGCTTTTTATCCTTTTTGAAAACAAACCCTTTTGTGTTTGATGCTCTGCATTTCCCGTTGGATCTAAATTGTCAAAACCCCAAAGATTCGGGTGCGAAAAAAGTGAGATTGGCTCTACATGGGGAAGCTATGGGAAGCAGACGCCGAAAGTTCCACCTTGTTTGCACGTGAAAGCTGCAAGAAAGGCTTCCCTCCTACATCCTTGCGATCACCGGCCATGGCCGATGCAAGCAATGGCAGCAGGCTATCGACATATTTCTTTCCATCAAAAAGAACCAAGTGAATGTTTACATCTACAATGCCACCATCAGTGCATGTGAGAAGACGCTTGAGATGTTCATAGTTCCGGCTGTTGAGGGGGTATTGAATTGTTGGGTTTTGGTTAGAAATTAGACCAACAGCAGTGGGCTTGAAACCTGCTTCAAGACAGAACTTCCACAACCTTTTCGCCAAAGTGAACAAGTAGTCGTGGCAAGGTAGGACGTGGCAGGTTATTGAGAGTGGGGAAGCCAGGTGCTGAGGGTTCCCTGTCTTCTTGATTTTCTAGGACATGGATGGACATGGTATATTTGTGGTGCAAACTAAGGACTGGGCAGTGGGAACATGCCCTTCAACTTCTTGACAGCATGCAGATGGCAGCGATTCATCCAACAGTGGTCACGTACAACACCACCATCAGCTCCCTTGAAAAGGGTGCTCAATGGGAACGCGCACTGACAATCTTCAACAGCATGCCAGCTGAACAAGTCTCACCTGATGTCATCACCGTCAATGCGACAATAAGCTCCTGCGAGAAAGGTGGGAAATGGATGCATGCAACAAAATTTTTGGACAGCATGGCAGAGCTTAGTATTGCTCCGAAGGTGATAACGTACAATGCGACCATCAGTTCATGCAGGAAAGATGGGCGGTGGGACATAGCTCTGTCTCTTCTGCATGATATGTTCTTTGGAAAGCTACTCCCAGATGTGGTGAGCTACAACGCTTGCATGGCTGTCTTTGAAACAAGTGGAAAGTGGAACTATGCATTGGAACTACTGGTCTTGATGAATATGGAGAAAGCTGTTGTGCCAAACGTTAGGACTTACAACGCAGCGATGAGATCGTGTGGCAAACAGTGGGAGATCGCCGTTGATTTCTTCGATCGCATGGTTGGGGCCACAATCGAGCCCGATACGCTGTCCTACAACGCTGTCATGGGATGTTTCAGAAGTGCTGAGAAGTCGCAGAAGGCATTCAGCTTTTTGAACACGATGCCGCATATTAGTCTGTACAGCTACAATGCAGCGCTGGCAGCTTGTGCAAAACCAGGAGAATGGCAATTGGCTTTGTATATCTTCAAGAAAATGCCTCAGACACGGGTCGCTGTGGATGTTTTGTCCTACAATTCGACAATCAATTCATGCGAGAAATCCAGCAAATGGCAATATGCACTTCATTTGCTGAACAGCATGAGCATTGCTGCACTGGAAGCCACTGTGGTGACTTACAACGCCGCAATCAGCTCTGTGAGTTCTGAATGGGAACAAGCTGTGGCATTGTTCAGCCACATGCGTTCTGCGCAAATCTTGCCTGATGTCATTACGTTCAATGCCATGATCACGGCGTATGGGAACTCTGCCCAGAAGCAAAGGGCTTTGGAACTGCTTGAAACAATGACCAAGTTCCACAAGCTCCACAAGCTGTCCCCGGATGTGATCAGTTTCAATGCAGCCATTCGGTCTTGTCAGGACAACTGGATACAAGCAACAGCTTTGTTCGAGCAAATGACTTCCTATCGACTCAATCCCGATTTGATTAGCTACAACTCTCTGGTCAGTTCCTGCAGCGATGCAACGGTGTGGCAGCGAGCTCTTTTTCTTCTAACGTCCCTGCAATTCTCAGAGTTGCGTCCAGATCTGGTGGGTTATACCTCGTGTTTAGGTGGGAAATGTGGGAAGTTGCTGTACATGACATGGCTGTCTCGCCACCGAAAATACATTAAATCATTAAATATGATTCTGAAAGGAGATCTTTCTGCAGACATTTGTAGACAGTATATTTTCATAGTCACAAAAAGTAGTCCTTCCCCTTTGGTAAAAAAGGGCTTCTATATATCTCAACTTAAGGGGGGCCAAAATCCCAAGCTGCCCTGAAGCTGTTTTTTGCCAGGTGCATGTGAGAAGGGCTCAGCATGGGAGAAGTCTTTGGAACTCTTTGAGGAGATGATACGGACAGACATCGTGCCGGATGCTTCGTCGTTTTTCTGTGCCACTTTTGTGGAATATCTCATGGGAATATATCATTCATGGAACTACACAATAAACACACCAAATTTTAAAGTGGCTATTGGGAAAAGGGAAAAAGGATGATGAACTAAGATGATGAACTAGCGAGCCAAGCCTTATTGCAGATTAGCCACGAAAGTTATACCCCCCCTTGATTGCTTCTTATTATAGGGGATTGTACTACCTTGTTTAGTGGGGATTATTGCAACCCACAATTGGACTATTTGTTAACCAGTAAAATAGGATACGATAGGAGCATGTTTCACGGCGACGCTTGCCACGAGTTTTCCATGATTTCCCCACTCGTTTTTGATGCAGCAAGGATGATGTTGGGTATGCTTCCATGATTGGTGCTTGTCACGAGGGACTGCAATGGCAACTCGCATTGCATGGCGTCTTTTCCATGTCGCAGCCAGACCTCATTTCAGTGAACAGAACGTTGGGTTCACTTCACTGTGAGCAGTGGCGGCTGGCCATTGTCCTTTTGGCGGCAATGCCGACAATGCCGACAATGCAACCCTGGCCATTGATCCCAAACATTGTCAGTTACAATGAAGCCATCAAGTGCTGTTCCCAACATTGGCAGCACGCATTGCAGCTCTTTCATGATGTGAAGATTGCTCAGCTGCAAGCGACTGCACTGACTTTCGATGCAGCTTGGGGAGCCTGTGATGCAACCGAGGCCTGGCCTTTGAAGCAGCTGCTGATGGCTGAGTTCAAGCGTGGCTGGTCCCGCACAGATGATCACAATCGACTAGTAGGATCTGGAGCCGCCCGTGCTTCACGCTTGGAAAAAGGATGAAGCGTGCCACAGAATCGACTAGTTTGCCCATGTTTGCCCCGAATTTGCCCAGGTCTTTTCAGCCCTAAATCGCCAAGCGAGTGGCAGACCTGCCTGAATTCACTAAGACTAAGACTCACAGGTTAAGCAAGCATGAGGGGCAGTTTCTTTTTTTGGTGCTGTATTTGCCAGGATTTTTTGTATGTATATGCTGTCTACGCCATTTGATTTTCTTTCTTCTTGATTAGCCATTATTAGAACTTACCACTACAAGTATAGGGTATCATTGGTATCCTATTCATATATGACAGAAAGCCTCCCCATCATTATCCCATCATGGGGATAACCATGATCATTAAATAACCGTAACATAGTGTGGCATAATACATACATACATACATACATACATATCATTACAATACTACATACATACATACATACTACCTACATACATCCATACAGTACATACATACATAGGCATACATACATCACATACATACATACATACATACATACATACATACATACTATACACCTACATACAATACATACATACTTATCATACTACTAGCATACGAATACATACATACATACATACATACATACATACTACCATACGAACATACCATACATACCATACATACCATACATACCATACATACCATACATACCATACATACCATACATACCATACATACCATACATACCATACATACTATACATACCATACATACCATACATACATACATACCATACATACATACATACATACATACATACATACATACATACATACATACATACATACATACATACATACATACATACATACATACATACATACATACATACATACATACATACATACATACATACATACATACATACATACATACATACATACATACATACATACATACATACATACATACATACATACATACATACATACATACATACATACATACATACATACATACATACATACATACATACATACATACATACATACGTGTGTATATATACATATATCATATATCATTACTATCCCCATATATGCTTCATTATTAATGGATAATAATATCCAGGCTTATAGGGAAAATATATCACATATCAACCCCATCAGATATCCAGATGGGCTTCACCTTCCCAGGTCCAGCAGGTCCAGCAAGTCCCAGGCTGGTCGCGGATGAGTTTCTGGGGATGGACATGAGATGTTGCCGCAGTTGCCCCATTTGGATTGGGGTTTCCAAAGAATAAATCCTCAGCTGTTTCAGAAGGATCCTTCTGAACAGTGGCTAATGGAGCAGCTTGGGACACATGGGGTTGGTTCAGTGTACTTTTTGCCGTTTGGGGGCAAACCAAAACATCCACCACTAAATTGGAGATCATCACGTCAAGATGCCATCTATTCTGGACGAATTATGGTTAGCATTAGGGTAACTATCCCCAACTGGCCGAACTTCTGAGGTGGGTGAATTTTGACCGAATCTGAACATCGCATATCCTCAATTCCAAGGGAAGCAGAGTAATCTCATTGCACTCATCGGAACCATATCTCAAACACCCATTTGTATCCCACTATGGTTCCTATGTGTAAACCTGTGGTTTCATCCCCTACATCCATGGTAAACACGCCGTGTGTTTAATATGTTTAATATTAAGGGGAGGGAGTCTCATCATTTTTTCAACAACCATTAATAATGAGTTTAAACCATAAATGATGAGATCATCCATAAACCACACCATTTTTATCATCAGGCCCTGGGAGCCATTGCAGCCTTCTCATTGCTTGATGAAGCCTCAGGAAGTGACCAATTGGACAACTGCCATGGCTTCATAAGTTAGGGCAAAACGAAACTTCCGAGAGAGTTAGGCTTGATTCAACTTGATCTTCGGCCAACTTCGACAGCAAACGACAAATCTCGCTGGCTTGGCCCGTCCCCTTATTTCCTTCGCATGTTTTTTTTCAGCAAACGACTCTTTTCATCACGAAAGTCCTGTAAAAAGTGGCGATCCTTCATGATAAGTTTGGTTCGCTGCAAAAAGAAATCGAATCCCCAGAGTTGGCCAAACTATGAATATATATATATATTATATATATTATATATTATATATATATGAATATCATCTGTATATCCTGAAGGTTATTTATATAACATAGCCATGGAAAATCATCACTTGAAATCGCTACCATCTATTTCTATGGCTCATGGCTTCCATAGCTATGTTATTTCTAACCAGATCATGTATATCCTGAAGGATCATATTTTATGATCTTTCCCCAAAATATGAAGGTTCCCGGGCCATCTCCGGACTCCTTGGCCAATGGCCCGACCAGGGGTCGGCCTGAACCTAAGGCCCCGCGGCGCACGCGCCGAAGACTAGCATTGAAGGGGTGCGGGGCGGGAGCCTGTTGTGTAAAGTCATCCAGGACCATTTTGGTTAGGAAATGGTTAGGAATTGGAATATCTAACCAGCTATACCCTCCGGTAATCAAATGTAGCAATGGAAGATCCTTCATTTATAGATGACTTTCCCATAAAAGCTTCCATTTGTAGGGCATTTCCCATTGCCACGTTTGATTACTAGAGGGTAGATGGTAAATCCCAGTTTGGAGATTCAGCAAACCGGGACCGATCTGTGGGATAGCTTTGCGCAACCTCGCTTATAGCCCATGCAATCCAAGACTGAACTCCAAAGAAGATGTTTGGAATGTGATTTTACCCTTTGATGTAGCGTTGACCGTATTCCATGTTACATGAATTCAGAGGTGTAGATAAGTCTTGAAATAAGACGCTCAGATGGGCCTTTTTCGCAACTTGATTGGCGCGATTGGCTCTGGCAAAGCCGGTTCACTTTACCCCAGGACATTGGGATCTTCATTGGAAGATCGCCGTCGGTAACCTGCCTGGAAACTCCCTAGCCATGGAGGTTTGGTTCGATGGGAAACTCCAGCGAACTGGACCTCCATCTAGTGAAGGGGATTTTCCAGCCATGTTTGTTGACACCGGAGGGTAGTCCCCATACTATATTGTTGGTCATATATATTATATAATATGTATATAATTACTTAGTGTATATATATATATAATATGTATACATATTATGTATATATATATACATACCCGGTTGAGAGAAGGAAGGGTGACCCAAGGTGAACAGGTCGGAACAGTTTGTCACGAGCCACGGAACAGGGTCACCTTTCGTCACCTTCAACCTTCATCTCACAATGGATATACTAACAATTGGGATAATGGGTGGTATAGATAAACTCTAATAGTTAGGATAGATAATCCGAAATTCTAATAATTGGGATAAACATTAATATTAAATGGGTGGTATAGACCAGTTTATTATTGGAAAAAACCACATGATTATTACTGGTTGGTGGTTTGGAACATGAGTTTTATTTTTCCATATATTGGGAATAGTAACCCCAACTGACTTTCATATTTTTCAGAGGGGTTGAAACCACCAACCAGATTATATATGATCCCATATTAGATGAAATAATGATTATAAGATATTAGAATATTCAATGATATAATATTATTAATGGGAAATTCTAATATCCCTACAATTATAATGATATGATCTATTAATCTATTCTAATATTCAATACTCCCACATTATTAATCTATCCCCACAATTATCCAACGAGGAAATCACTGAGATTGCCACCAGATGGGTAACTTTGGGTAGCGATGTCCGCCACCAGATGGGGTGATGATGTGAGCTTCTTCGACTCTTCCGTCAAGTCCAATGTGGAGGTGTGCGACTTCGGGTCCGTTGGGGGCGAGTTAGAGAACATATGAATGACATATATTTCATATATGAAAATATGATCATCAAAGGAAGTTTAGGGGGAGAAACTTCCGTGTTACGGACTTTTAGAATGTCAGGGAAAGAGTTAGTCAAAGAAAGAGTTAGTGAGGGAAAGAGTTAGTTAGGGAAAGAGTTAATTGTAACTTTTAGACTGTCAGGGAAAGAGTTAGTCAAAGGAAGAGTTAGTTAGGGAGAGAGTTAATTGTAACTTTTAGAATGTCAGGGAAAGAGTTAGTCAAAGAAAGAGTTAGTGAGGGAAAGAGTTAGTTAGGGAAAGAGTTAATTGTAACTTTTAGACTGTCAGGGAAAGAGTTAGTCAAAGGAAGAGTTAGTTAGGGACAGAGTTAATTGTAACTTTTAGAATGTCAGGGAAAGAGTTAGTCAAAGAAAGAGTTAGTGAGGGAAAGAGTTAGTTAGGGAAAGAGTTAGTCAAAGAAAGAGTTAGTGAGGGACAGAGTTAATTGTAAATGACATCTTCAAGTTGGATTTTTGAAGGAAGTCTCGCACGAAATGCGTTTTTGAGAGATAGCAGATGCACGAAACCCTATGTTTTTCCATACAAAGTCCGTCCCCGAACCTCGATGATCTACCTCTGCGGTGCGACGAGTGCGAGACGGTCTCGTGTGTGGTCGGATCATGCTCGGATCATGGTCGGATCATGCTCGGATCATGATCGGATCGGTTCCGCATTGTAAATGGGGTTTCACCTGTGTTTCGTGCATGTGCGGTCGACACATGGCGTTGGAGCTACAATTTCCGACGCCGTTGCGCGTAGTTCTATTGTGTTTGGCAACTCAGTCTCTGCAGATCGCATTGTAATGGCTGCGTCAAGGTTGCTTCGTGCTGTGGCTGCATTCGTAATACTATTGTCTTTTGCAGCTGGACTTCGTAAATCGTATTGGAGTGGCTGCATGAAGGCTGCCACAGTGATTTGTCAGCAGATTTTCTCCATTTTGGCGCTAATGATTTTCCTTCTAAAAATCCTTTTAAAAAGTGCTTCAAAATCGTCTTTTTTTCGCTCTGGCGTCGAGATCCGGTTTTGGAGCTACAATTTCCGACGCCGTTGCGCGTAGTTCTATTGTGTTTTGCAACTCAGTCTCTGCAGATCGCATTGTAATGGCTGCGTCGAGGTTGCTTCGTGCTGTGGCTGCATTCGTAATACTATTGTCTTTTGCAGCTGGATCTCGTAAATCGTCTTGGAGTGGCTGCATGAAGGCTGCGAAATGGATTTGTTAGCAGATTTTCTCCATTTTGGCACTAGTGTTTTTTTGTTGCACGTAGGTTTAGAGCAGTGTGAAGTGTGGGGCGTAAAGAGTGCAGTGTGAAGCGTGAAGTGTGAAGGAAGCAGTGGGAAGTGAGAAGTGTGAAGTGTGGAGTGTGAAGTGTGAAGTGTGGAGTGTGAAGTTTGAAGTGTGGAGTGTGAAGTTTGAAGTTTGGAGTGCGAAGAGTGCAGTGTGCAGTGTGAGGTGTGGAGTGTCGAGGGAAGGACACGGTCGGGACAGGTTGTCTTTGAACTATAGGTCATTTATGTTTGGGAAACTTCCGCCGCCGGCTTGCCCGGGTCTATGTGATATGATAAGATATGATAAGATATGATAAAACATAAACATCTGGTGCCTCAAATTGTGTTTTGTGAAGAAAATCATTTTTTTGTGTTTCAAAACGAAGCGTTTTTTTTTTTGCGTCCTGTTGAGCTTAGCCAGGCCATGTCCCAATGTCCCAATGTCCCATTGCCGGTGGAAAAACAGGGCCCGCGATAGCTTCCGCGGTGTTTATTTCAGTTTGAGTTTTTGGAGTGCCCGATACTTGTTGAAAAAAACAAATATCATGCATAATATAACTGATATATACTGAAAACATTCAATATATTCAATATTCATTTCGAGATTTCATGAAACACTGGTGCGTTCGTGCTGTTTCATACGGTGTTTGATTTGAGACGATACTGTATAGAGTTTATCAGCTAGGTACCCAATGTATCCCAATGTTCTGTTTGATATACTATTTAGATCAATACTACTGAGGATATTTCAATTGAGATCCAATATGATGTCGAATGTATTAGCAATCATGTTGATTGTACCATTGAATATTACAATCATAGTATGATACTTGACTTCATAGTTGATTTCATTGTATATCTGATTTAGTATCTCACCAGACAAAATTGTGAAATATCATACTATGATTTTTTTGATATATAACATGGTATGATAAAGCATTATAGTATATGATATGACATATAGTATATTGTGAAGTGATATGATATGATATGAAAAATTCAACACTCGATTTGTATGGGCCGCGCAACACATTCCCAGGCGGCTGATGGTCTGCGTTTGGTCACCATTGAGGCGGCTACAGTTCGATGTGAAAAAGCCCTCATTTTCCTGGGCCATGGGTTTTTCAGATCTGGCTATGAGTCAAAACCCTGTAGCCTGATGAACAGCAACATAGGTGGGATTTATGGATGTTCATCCACCCAAAATATGGTACAATAGATTTTGACCCATTCCCATCTCAACGTTTAGGGTAAGCATCCACAATCACGTCAGGGATTTTACCATCCATGGCCAGGTACCTGAGGAGGTTTCAAAACCGTATCAACGTGCTGGACAGTTTGTGCAGGTGCGCACCATAGCCATATGGACGTCATTTTATGTCATTTTATGTAATTTTCATCAAGATGGGCTGGAACATTGGAACAACCCAAGCCATATTTTTGAAGCACCCAAGATCGTGGTGTTGCTACAGAAGATTGACCACAAGCCTCGAGCCTCGAAGCACGTACCCAGATCATGGCAATGGCGTCAGCTCTGTTTGTCCAAAAACCCTTTCAAACAACTTCACGTTAACTTCACCTTTTTTTATCCCAGATGCCGGAAATTGGATGAATCAACCTGCAACAATTCACAGCCAGCAAGGTGCCACTGCCCACTTTGAACTTCACTCACTAACGTAACCGTGGTCGCCCTTTTTGGCACCGCCACGGTGCCACGGTGCTGCACCGCGAGGCCAAAGAAGAGGAGGATTCCAAGGCCTCATTTTACGCCATCTCCAGTGCACCTGGAGGACGATCTGACGATTCACTGGTAGACACATGACAGGGCCGATATATCGTACGGCTTGGGCCGTTAGTAAGGGGTTATAAACCAACCAACATAGCTGGGAGGCCTTTATAGTTTGTGATTTGGGATAATATCGAGGAATTCGATTCTATCAGTTGGGGATAGTTGGGGTTGACAGCACTGCCTTTGGAGTTGGTTTCGGTGTTGGAAAGGTCCCTTGAATTTGACGTGGCCAAACCCCACCAACTCTTAAGTCGGAGACACTCCAACAAGTCTCTACTTTCAGCTGTTTGAGGCTCACACAGTTTCTCACGTTGCACGTTGCGCCTGTTGCGCGTTGCAGGAGATTTGGAGTTTCTGATCAAGGAAGCTGCTTCCAATGATTGGATCACGGCTACAAAGGGTGGAGATCTGGTGAAGCTGAGCCCAGCCATGGGCAAAGGCTTTGACACCGACTGCCAGGCATGGTGCGAGTGAGTTCATAAGCCACGAAAAAACACCATGTTTTGGGCTCCGTCGAACTGGTGTCCTGTCAATTTCCAGAAGATGCGAAAAAACATGTTGACATACCCTCTGGTAATTTAACATAGCTATTGAAAATGGCCAGTTATAGTGGATTTACCCATTGAAAATGGTGATTTTCCATAGTTATGTAACAGTTTACCAGAGGGTAACTCCAGAAGTCTCGACTTGAAACACAAGTTATGTCACGACCTGCATCCGGCGCCGGGCTGTTGCCCGATACAACCGGACTGGTTCCCAAGAATCTGCATGGTTTCATCCTGCTTTATTTGGAATTCATGGGAAATCTCCGACAGTTGGGCACTAGTTAACATTGGAGATGCAGAAATCCAAAGGTTCACGCCCTAGAAACTTGTGGATTTTGCGGGTGAAGCCGGGTCTCAACTTGCTTGAGCGCCACATGTCAGGCTTGGAAAGATGCAGGGGTGAGTCAAGTACCTTGCCAGCCTTGCCATGCCAAATCAGGCAGATGCATACCTAAATATTTCCAAGTACTTTATGTTTTTTCCAGATCTTTTCCGAAAAAAATGAAGACTTGGGGAGAAATTCAGCTGTTGTGTTCCCTCGAAATCAGGGCTTCCTCCGATTTCTTTTTTTTTGGCTGCGGAATTGAGATTTCACCAGCTTCATCAGACATCGAAGGAACTGGGCAGATCGGCTAAGTCCTCCAAAGGTTCATCGCCCAGATCGCCCAGTGAGGTAAGCCTCTTTGCCACCGGATCCGGCATTTCACCCATGAGGCCGAAACAACATTCCGTGTTTTCGGCTGATATGGTCATTCGAATGGGGAAAATGATGGTAAACAAGCTGATGACATGTAATTATATATATACATATGTTATACACATCCATATATATATATAACATATGACATATATATATATAATATGATATATATGTGATATATATGTGATATATATATATATATATCATAATATATATATATCGCATATATATATATCATATATATATATTTATATGATACATATATATATATGATATATATGATATATATGATATATATGATGTATATATATTTATATTATATTATATTATATTATATATATGTTGTATATATAATTATATATATATATGATGTATATATAATTATATAGAATTATATATAATTATATTATATTATATTACATTATATTATATTATATTGTATTATATTATATTATATTATATTATAATATATTATATTATATTATATTATATCATATCATATTATATTATATTATATTATATTATATATGTGTATGTGTATGTGTATATGTATATGTGTATATGTATATGTGGCCAAATTTTCGGGAACATGATGAATCACCAGTGGATGGACTGCGGCTTTCCCCAACATTCTTAGAAGCCACACGTTCAGATCATGTAGCTTTCGTGGCTTTCCCCCTGCCAAGGGCGCTGATCGAATCCAAAGCATTGTCAGGTGGGAAAGGACCATCGGTGACTTTTGGTGAGAACCTGGCTGAAATCAATCCACATTTGTCACATGGCTGGAGAAAAACCGATGGAAACATATTGGTTTGAAGACAGTCATGGGGTCCGCAGCAGGGGACATTGACTCGACATTGACCAGAAGTCTGCTGGAAGTTTGAAGAAAGTTTGAAGATCTTTGACGTTTCAGATATTTCGCAAACTGCACCAAAAGGACACTGTGAATTTTCGCCAGGTAAAGTATGCCGTCTTTACTATGGAGCGCGGGAGGAAGGCGGGACATCGCAACTTTTTTGCCAACAACGCAGGATCATCACACCTGTTAGAGGACATAATTGACAGATATTGACAGAATGATCACCTGACATATTGATAGAACGCCATGTGAATTACCCTCTGGTTATTTAACATAGCTATGAAAAATCACCATTTTTAATAGGTAAACCATGGTACACCATCTATAAATGGGCCATTTTCCATGGCTATGTTAAATAACCAGAGGGTATGTGAATTAGCAGCTCCAAGTGATACCAATAGCCTCCAGGCAACCTGGCCTACGCGGCTGGAACCTGAGCATCACACGCAAAAAAAAGAGCTCCATCCGGCCGGAAATCCATGGGAAATCCATGGGAAATTCACCATTTCGATGATATTCCGAGCTCATTACTGGAGGGTATCTGTTTCTCGGAATTTTGCAACCAATATTCAGTGCAGACCTGATCTATTTCTCCGGTTCAGCTGAAACTCAGAATCGCTTCGACAAGTGGAGGTGGAGCGGGTGGAGTCGCGGCGCGAGTCGCGGCGCGAGTGTCGTGTAGTCAATGGCATTGTGATCAACATTTGAGACTGCTAAAACTAGAGATGTTACCCTCTGGTACATTAACTAGAGATGTAGGCGATTTTCAGGGTCTGTGTTAATTTACCAGAGGGTAAATGTTAATCATTCATAACTCCATATTTTGCAACCATACAGTTTTTGGGACCAGAGGTATGCGGTATGCGATATGTGGCCACCCTGGATGTTCAAGAATGACAACGTCGGAGTTTGGATTTAGTATGAAGCTGTCAGAAGATTCAGCCACAAAGATTTACTTCTGAGTTCCATTTTTGCCCAAGTCCGATATTCTCCAAGTTCGGTCCATTTTTGCCCAAGTCCGATATTCTCCAAGTTTGGGGTTAGCTCAAGTTTGGATCCAATGACAGTCGGACACAGCATTTACCCTCTGGTAATTTGTAACATAGCTATTGAAAATGACCATTTATAGTTGATTATCCATGAAAAATGATGATTTTCCATAGTTTTTGATATATTTACCAGAGGGTATTTTCAGGCAAAGCGGAATCGAGATCATTCCGGTGCTTTCGAAGGGAGATGACTCTTGGCAAGGACTGATCCCCAATCTCATGTGATCCATGTGATCCGATGGTCAGCGATGGTCAGCATGAGGGGGTCACGAATGAGAACATGTCAAAACACGACATCTAAACAGATAAAAACTGTAGGACATGTCAAACAAAAACTGTAGAAGATGTTTTCAGAAACATGTGACAACTGTTAAAGCCTGATCATGCTGGCAATATCATGGCGGGATGTGGGAACGTTCCACAGCGTCGTCCAGTTCGCCTCCAGGCCGGCGAGGCTACGTTCAGGAGGTCATGAAGGAGGACGAGGAGAGTTTTTCAACTCGCCATTGGGGATTTTGGAAGATTTTGGAAGACCATCCTAGGAAAAATATGGAAAAAACATAACTAAGGCTGGATAGTTTGGGGGCTGTCCCCTCCATGGTGATCCAATGTGATCCATGGTCATGGTACGATTCGTGGGCTGATCCTTCAAGTAGCCATGGGAATACGCTACATCGCAAAAAGTTGTGGATGTCTACATGTAACATATGTAATAATGTACATAGATTGACATTATATTGAATTTTACTGACATATAACATGAAACATAGATTTAAATAACGCATCCTTCGCTGTACAGGAGAGAGGTGAAGGCTTTGTTCTTTCTGCCAAGCACGGAGCGGTGCTTTGTGGCCAGAAAGACATGGTCACAGCCGTTCGGGCGATCTATGCAGAACTGGGTGTACCGGAGGAGCTGATCCTAATGGGTGCGGGGGTTCTGGCGGTTGGGTATGAGTAATTAATTATTGGCAAAGCGTCATTTTCCTCGCCATTCAGAAAGGGTTAGATAAGGTTAGATACTCTCTCGCATGACATGTTGAAATTTCACCATGGCACACGACCTTGTCACAACGCATACACCTCACAAGAACGTGCGGTGGCTTAGAACTGGAACTTGGTGCATGTCTGTGGCACTGAAGGAAGATTCCTGCCATTCCTGCCATGTTTGTTGTTGCCAGTTTGTGGTCATGTCCTCCTAAATGGCCTTTGCAAAGCCTTTAAGTTACTCGCGAATTCTAACCTTAGGCCCCCATTTTGCCATTTTGTCATGCTGCACAGCATTGAGGAGAGAACTTTGTTGAACTTTTAGCGCCGACCTGCGAGAAAGCCGCGCTCGCAAGCCTTAGGCAATTTGAGGTCATCCCAATGAAAAACATCGTTGTTCCTGGTTGAAATTGGGACCGGCAGTCAATTTCTTTGCAAATTTTTCCAATCAATACCCTCTGGTAAACTGTTACATAATTATGGAAAATCACCATTTTCAATGGGTAAATCCACTATAAATGGCAAATTGCCATTTTCAATAGCTAGGTTAAATTACCAGAGGGTAAATTTGGTGAAGTGTGGTCAGAAATTTGGGAAAGCAGCATGATGATTTGATGGACTGACGCGGTCGCAAGAAATGTGACTGAAGCTCCTTGGCTCAGGAGTCGTCACCATTTCGTTGGCCAACAGTTTGTTGCAGTGAGGTCGCTAGAAAGAGCAGGGAAATTCACAGGCCTTTGGTTTCAAACACCAGCAACTCACAGAGCACAGAAACTCATCACGGAAACATTGACACATCATGGCTGCGGCATTCGTCGCACCCTGGGGTAGCGCAGGTGGCCAAAACAGCAACATTTCCGACACATCTTGATCATCGGCTGATCATCGGCTGATCATGTTGGAATCCGAATTGTAGACACCTGCTGTGAAGGGGTAATGTTAGTAACCAGCTTGGTGCATGATATGCCAGATATGCTGAAAGGGCATCCTGCACTCGGCAGGCCCGGCGGTGGCACAGTCCAGACCGACCAGAGCGACCTGGCGCCAAAAGAACGAGTCCAGAGATTCACAGAAATGTCACCACGAGTGCCTGCAGAAAGCTGGCTGGAGTTCAGCGAAGTGGCAAAAAACACGCTGAAAATTCACGCAATTTATATCAATTTATGCTATGTGGGCTGAGGTATGCGCTGATGTTCCCACAGCCAGGCCGATGGTTTGCCTTTTTGATCTTTTTGGGTTGACTGGTCCTTGTTCTGCTCTGGAGAGGGTAGAGGATACACACCCATACAATTTAGGGGTGCACCCCATTTTCAGACAAACCCAACAGGGGCATTTCCCCCCCAAGAGCTTATGGGTATTACAGGACAAACTTTCAAACTTCAATGGGCTGGGCGATCTCTCATGTTGAGACACACTTATCTCATCTTTACCAAACATGACTCATGACCATATGCCCCAAGTATGCTATACTTATATAATATATATATATAAGTAATATATATAATATATATATATATACAAATATGTATATATAATAAATGAACATATATAACTAAGATTCAAAGTCCCCCTCCAGTTAGATCACCTCAGCAAGGTGCTTGCCGCCTGCGCGAGCTGTGCCAGCATGGAAGACATCAAGGAGCCGTGGATTGGATGGTTTTGGAGGGCACTGAGTCGGGCCATTCTTTGTTGGGAAATGATATATATATATATATAAATGCATATTATTATCATATCTTCAGTGTTTTTTGGTGGGCAGTCATCTCCACCTCCTCTGAGCTTTCGAGCTTTCACTTGGGTCATTGCCGGGATGCTAATAGGAGATGCTTCTGGACATTGGTGCAAATGATGATAGACCATAATGTATATATTGGGACAAACCATGGGATGTCCCATTCATTCTTTTTGAACATATCTTTTACCCTCTGGTAACTTAACATAGCTGTTGCCCATGTAGTTCGTTGATTTCCCAGTTCGCAAACTGTTAGCTATTACAAGAGCTTAACCTTTATTTCCATTTTATTATATGCCCGAAAACTATAGAATGTTTTTTTTTTTAGAATCACGATTTTAGTGGGAATTTACTCTATCTTTTTGGGGGTAGACAGTGTATGCCGATGCCCGACATGGCTGCTTTCCTGGTTTTTCCAACTGGGTCTGAAACTGGGGGACAACCCCAATTTATGCTGTTTTCTTTTTTTCCGGGGGGGAACATCAAACATCACATTTGGTGGTACCGTGGTACCCGATTTTCCGACGAAGCTTTCCATATCTGGCCCTGGCAGGTCCATGCAGTGCTCACTATCGCCGGTGCGCGCCGGCGCGAGTTGTTTCGTCTCGTTTTTCGCTCTAGCCAAGTTCCAGATCAGGGTTGGTGAAAACCGATGAAAACAGATCATTTTTAAAGTGAGAATCGCGTGCTTTCAAAGTAGCCCAATGCTCCAAAAGCCATTTGGACGCAAGTTTTGACGACCCTTGGGCCTTGGATCATTGGAACTGCCAAGATGAAGCTTCAGCGAGTGGGAAGGAAGATGTTTGGCCCCACATCCAGATGCGTCCCGTTGCCAGGGTTTTCCCAGAATCGAGCAGGAATAGGTCCAGGGAAGCAGGGGGGAAGCACGTTTCCACTGCCAGGTACTGTTCAGCCTGGCTACAGCGTTTGTGGCCTGTAGGACTTACGAGTTTTCGTGCCAAGAATCGGCCCGAAATCGGGAGCCAAACATAATGTGGTCTGTTTCAGTAGGGGCAAAGGAATGCTCAAGTGGGGCACTTGCGAAGGTTGCCTTTTTGTTGACATGGGTTTGGTTGAAAATAGAGTACCCCAAAAAGTACCCCAAAATGTGATGCTTTATCAATTTTATGCCAAATAAAATAGTATAACATAGTCATTTTCTGATCATGTTTGGGGGTATACCCCATTTGCAGACACAAAAATCACCTGACCCAGCTGGAGACCAACGATCAGCCGGTTGTGGGCCATCCTAAAAGAAATCACTTTGGATCATGAGCTTTTTATGTAAAACCCAATTTCATGAAACCGTTCCCAACACAATTTGATGGGAATAAATTGCAAAGGCACTCCTGCATGATAATCGACCACTTGCAATATTTTCTGAGATAAGATGTCTAAGATGTTTCCTTCGTTTGTTTTTTCGTCAGAAATTCGTTAGGCTTTTCGTCGGGTGCTTTGTGGCAAAACATTTTGCCACAAGATTTTGCCACAAATTCTTTCGTCAGAATTTCTTCAGGATTTTGTCAGAATTTCGATTGAACTTGAGTTGAAGCAACGAAATCTTTGACAAAATTTCGACCATTTTTTCACGATCATTTTTTTGTGGCAAAACGTGTGGCAAAAGGTGTGGCAAAATGCAATCCAGAATTGCCACGAAATCTTCAACAACATATCCACATAATTTTTAACAAAAACTCAACGAAAGCTTCAATGAAAAATCACATTGCAAATCATGAGCTGTGACAATCCAAGGTATAAACCATCCCCAGTCATGGTAGGTTTATGGTTTATGGCAGGTGAATCCCACATATCATGGCCGCCCAGGAGCCGCAGGAGAGGACGAGGAGGAGTCCTTTTGAGGCCGATTTCGAACGAGTCCTGTGTGGGAAGCGTTTCAAGTGTGGGATGGATCAGGTGATTGCATTTAATTTTTTTCTCAATTGGAGCTTTATCATAATATGTATATATATATATATGTATATATATATATGTATATATATAATAATATATGTATATATGCCAGTAGTACCGCACAAGGCGGTGGCGGAAGTTTCAAGAATAGGAAACCTATAGGAGGGGTTGGTTGTTGTGAATCACGGATGGCAGGGCGAATCCGCTGATGGACCGAAAGGTGGTTGGAGTAGTGTTTTTTGGAGTGGCTGCAATGGTTGCAGTGGTCACCTCACCACAACTGCTGGATGTAGTGTTGTGTAGTGCAGTTGTAGTTGTAGTTGTAGGTGTAGGTTTATGTGTAGTTGTAGTGTAGTGGAGTGGTAGTTTTAAGTGATAGTTGTAATGTAGCGTAATTCATGTAGCGTAGTTGCAGTTGCAGTTGTAGTTGTGGTGTGGTGTAATTAGTGCAGTGTATTCTAGTGTTGTGTACTGTAGCCTGGTATAGCGTAGTGTAGTCTAGTGTATTGTAGTGTAAAGTAGTGTAGTTGTAGTTGTAATTGTAGTTGTAGTGTCGTGTTGTGTAGTGCAATGTAGTGGTAGGTGCAGTTGTAGGCAGCGTAATGCAATGTAATTAGTGTAGTGTTGTGTTGTGTAATGTAGTGTAGTTGCAGTCGTTTCTGTATTTGTAGCTGTAATGTACTGCAGTTTAAGTAGCGTATTGCAGTGTAATGTAGTGTAGCTGTAATTGTAGTCGTAGCTGTGGTGGTGGTGGTGGTGGTGGTCGTCGTCGTCGTCGTAGTAGTAGTTATTACTATGATTAGTAGCAGTAGTAGTAGAAGAAGTAGTAGTAGTAGTAGCAGGAGGAGGAGGAGGAGTAGTAGTAGTTTTAGTAGTCGTAGTCGTAGTCGTAATCGTAGTCGTAGTCGTAGTCATAGTCGTAGTCGTAGTCGTCGTCGTAGTAGTAGTAGTAGTAGTTGTTGTTGTTGTGGTGTAATTTGTGTAGTGTAGTGGAATTAGATGTAATTACTGTAGCGTAGTGTAATTAGTGTTGTGTAATGCAGCGTAATCTATTTGTACTTGTAGTTGTAGTAATAGTGTAGTGTAGTGGTACTCGTAGTCGTACTTGCAGTTGTAGTTGTCTCGCTATCTATCTGTCTATCTGCAAGCTTGAAAACGAAGCTATTCTGCGAGACTTCCTCAGTTTTTGAACTTGACAACATCAAAAACGCAGCAATTCAGTGAGACTTCCTCAATTCTTGCACTTGACAACGTCAAAAGCGAAGCAATTCTGCGAGACTTCCTCATTTTTTGAAGTTGACAGCATCAAAAACGAAGCAATTCTGCCAGACTTCCTTCAAAAATGGAAAGTTGAGTGCAGAGCTGACGGCCTCATACCAATGCGTTTTGCAATATTTCGACCCCACCTGTCTAAACTACTGCGCCTGCCACAAAAAAGTGATACCGGGTCATACGAAGTGCTGCACCTGTCACGCAAAATCATCTCAGCAAACCTGAAGATCTGATGCTCCAAAATGCAACCCATCTCAAGAAATCAGCGCCCGGACCTCCTAACAGCTCTGATGAACATGTCTCTTGTATTGCGCCTGCCACGGAAAATGCATCCTTGCAGATCCTCTTGAAATGCCCCACGCCTGCCATCTTTTTTGGAAATGTTACAAAACCCTCACGTTTTGCTCACTTTTAACAAGGTCCACAATCCCTTGCGCCTGCCACGCGAAAGCACATCTGAACGCCCAAAAGTGGTCCGAACATGTGGTGTTTTTAACGTTTTGACTTCGAAATGTGCTTCGCGCCACAACGGCGTGCAATTTTTCATCTCTCATCTGCCCAGCTGGCTCCGCACCCGCCGCTTTAGCGAGCCTACTTTCGACCCTCTGGAGCCGCAAATCACTGGAAAAAACACAGCGTTTCGCAACTTTCCTACCTTTTCGCGCACCTGCATCTTCTTTCTTCCGACTCTTTCTCTTCTCTGATCTTCTCTTCTCTATTCTTCTGCTCCACCTCTGCTTTTCATCTGTCCATATTGTCGGAAGTTTGACTTCTAAACTTCCTTCGATAACATGATATGTATATATATATATATATGTATATATATATATATATAGAAGTGGACGCATGGCTCGAAGATCAACGCGTATCAGCCAGGGGAAGCCACCTGACCGTAAACAGCTCCCTAGGCTCCCTTTTTTTAGACCTAGTCAGGCGGGGCTCAGAAGTGGACGTGGAACAGCGATTGTGCGGGATCTCTGCGATGGGTTCTATGAACCGAGCTGGTGAAATTTCACAAGCAACAAACCACAATGGAGGATGCAGCAGTGCAAATATTGGTACCGAAACATCCATAAGGATCATGCCAAATTTCACAAGGGCATAGGTTGAACAAACCAACATGTTCGCTTCTGTCCATTAATGAATACCTGCATTTTTTTTGAACTCTTTGGCTAAGAAAACAATATACATTTTCATTTGTTTTTGTTAAATTTCCCATTTTCATCGGAGAACACTTTCGCAGACCTGATCCCAATGACACATGTTATAGCTTCGGGTTTTGTGTCATCCTCACAGCAAACAATTAATCTGATGGTTCCAAGGCGTGAAGTGGAAAGCGCGGTGTTCCCAGCAGTGTTTGACTGCGTCCCAAGTGCATCAGTGGACCGGCGCCTATTCCGTTCATTGAGATGCCCACAAGGGGAGAATTTCACTTACTCATGGTGTCTCTTATTACCCTCTGGTGAACTTGTTCTCAAGTTGCACTTTGTGCTCCGGGAATCAACCGTGGCAATGGAACATCCTCCATTTATAGATGACTTTCCTATTAAAAACTCCACTTAGTTTGGGGATTTTGCAGATTTCCCAGCCAACCAGCTTTGATGACACCGTTGGTAAGTGGGATCCATTTTTTTGGGGATTCCAAGCTTTGATCCATAGCTTCAAGCCTTCGAGCTGGTACAGCTCCAGCATGGGTGATATCACACACCTTCTCAGAGTTTCCCTTGAACATTTCCATAAAAGGATCATATGAAGATCATAAAAGAAACATCCGAATTTGGGGGTTCCATCCATCAACCCCTGGGCTTTCACCGGGAACCAAAACAGTTTCCTTGCCAGATGATGGCAGATGATGAGGACCTGGGAGCACGGCATTGTTGCGCCCACCTTTGCAATGACTTATCTCAACTTATCTACTTAGATCGACTTCTTTTCTGGCCATGAAACCTGCTGAATTGTGTCCTTTCAGTTGATCTCCCTTGCTGTGTTGCCTCGGATCCGCACAGCGACCAGGAGGTTCTTTCAGATGTGCCCGAATTGAGCCGGCAGGTGGAAACCATAATCCTTTCTGTTCGGTTGAGCAAATGGGTACGGGTCAGTTGGTAGCCTTAAAAATCCTTCAAATATTGTCTCAAATCTGAGAAACCTTGACCCAAAATGACCCAAATGCATCCAAATCGATGTTTTTTTGCTTCGGAGCCTTTGTAGAGTTGGTGCTAGGAGTGCGTCCAACTCCCATAACCCCATCCCCAAACTATTCTTGGGGAACAGAGAGCCGTTGAATCGATCACTTTTGGGAATGCATGGAAATAGTGAGTGAGCACGCCTTAGTTTCACAATAACATTCTCCTAACTGCAAGTGACTAGTGTCCTAGGTTAACATGCCTTCGGATTTCTACTGAGTTACTCCTTGAATCAGACTGAATTTCAGCTCTCAGGTCGAGGGTGGTCGTCCGCGCTATGCGGAAACACGCAGCCTCCCACGCAGCTTGGGCACAAAATCTCAAAAACTGCTCCGTTTTTGCTTTCCGATGGCATCCCCATCCGAAACAACAGGGGTTGGTAACTGTCCCATTTTGGGAATATTGGACATCACCTTATAGTAGCCATTATAGACCATATACCTAATGGTTGGGTGATGTTCAGTGCAGCTGCATCAGTGCAGTCGCCCCTGAGGTGTTCTCTTTCTTCCAGAGCCGAAGTACCGCGCCTTTGTTGCCAATGTGTCCGGGACTCTGTAGACTCTGACTCTGCGCGACCGCTTCGACTGGTTCGACTCTACCCATAGATTACATACGCTTCAGATATGACACTTACATATAATTAGCTAATATCATATCCTACCTACAAAATAGCGACATATATATATATATACACATGTCTGGTACAGACTCATTTACACGTTTGGAAACATCGATACATTCGTCTACATAGATATTAATAGAAATTAATACACCACTGTATAATACAGATATACAAAGGCGTACATTTACAATGATCTATAATTTTCTCTCTTCCTCCCTCTTCTTATTGCACAGTTCATACTTTGCCCCCCTTTCCAATGTCCTGCATGTATGTAATGTAATGTAATGCATGTAGTGTAGTGTAGTGTAATGTAATGTAATGTAATGCAATGGTAGGGTAGGGCAGGGTATGGTATGGTATGCATGCATGCACGTACTAATATATACATGTATGGAGTGCGTATGTATGCATGCAATGAACGTAATGCAATTTCAAGTCATGTAATGTAATCTCATGCAGTGCATGCAATGTTTGCAATATGATATGACGTGATGTGATGGGATGGTTTTTGGTTTCTTACTTGCGGAATGCAATTTACTGTCCGTAATGGAATGAAATGGAATGTGATGTGTTTTTATATGTGTTTTGTATGTATCATATGTATTGTATGTATCATATGTATCTACATATCATTTGTATGTCTGTATGTATGTCTGTATGTCTGTATGTTTGTATGTAAGTATGTCAGTATGTCAGTACCTGCGTACGTAGGACGTAGGTAGGAGGGTAGGTATTTATGTAGGTATGTATGTATATTATACACATTTATGTATACATTTAATTTATGTTCATATATGTATACATATATTACATTTGGCGGTGCCAACGCGTGCTTCCTATTTTGACAATTTCGGCAGCAGCAGCACGCAGGGCAGGGTTGCAAATACATGTATTCCATATAATATGATATATGCAGACATGTGTCACATCCTGAGGCCCGGCGACAGTGGATTTGATCCTCTTGGGTGCGCCACCGGGGTCCCAAATGGCTTGCGACAGCTGAAATGGTGGGTCAAAACCCCTGGAATACCTGAAATTGAACACCAAAACAACCTGTAGATGTTCATCCCC